CCCTATGATTAAGCCTGCCCCTCCCCTCCCTGGATCCTCATAGTAATTCTACAATAATGATCTTATATACATTATTTGTCTTTATGAGACTTAGTTCACTCAGCATAATTTTGCATGTGATTTTTGTTGCATTTGTCTATCCATTTTATTCCTTTTAAAGAATGAGTTCTAGGATAAACATAGGCATTAAATCAATTTTCTACATATTGTTGGGGGCTTTGCCTATTTGATCTATTTAAGAGAAAGTTGTGTGAAATTTTCCTTATATCGTGTCTGTCCTTTCCTTTTCCCTGTAGAACAGTTGCTTCACAGCCTTCTGTCTTTTTTTTACCTCTATGTCTTTTGAAGCATTATAGTTGGTGGATAAACTATGGCAGTTTTTTATTTAGAGAATTCAATACTATATTAGCATAAAATGATCATATTTTGCTTTTGTCTCAAGTCCATTTAGTTTGATATTAATAACTCCTATTTTTTTTTCAATTTCCATTTCCCCTAGTAAAATGGGGGGAAGGGGAAAAGTCTATGCTTTATAGTTAATTTGTGTATGTATGTGCATGAGACTCAGAGTCACAGGCTACAGGCTTTATAGTTTGATAAATTTTTTAAAAATTTCAATGCTGGCCCCGCCCGGCCGAGCCGCCGGGCTCCGCGTCCTCCAGCAGCCAGGAGTCGCTGCGACCCCCGGCGGCCGCGGCGGCGCTGCTCTCGCGGCCCTCGCGCATTGAGGCGCTGCGGCTGCGCCTCCGCGGCACGGCTGACGACATGCTGGCCGTGCGCCTACGGAGGCCGCTGTCGCCCGAGACGCGGCGGCGCAGGAGCAGCTGGCGCCGACACACGGTGGTGGTGCAGAGCCCGCTCACCGACCTCAACTTCAACGAGTGGAAGGAGCTGGGCGGCGGAGGCCCTCCGGAGGCCGCGGGCCCTCGGGCGCACAGTGACAACAAGGACTCTGGGCTCAGCAGCCTGGAGTCCACCAAGGCGCGGGTCTCGTCGTCCGCTGCCTCGCTGCCGCCGGCGCTGGGGGAGCCGGGGGGCGCGCAGAGCCAGGCTCCCCGCCGCTCGGTCGCCGCGCGCCTCCACCAGTGTCTGTGACCCGCCGGGTGTCTTGGGGAAGGGGGAGCCCCCGGCTTGCACTCCCTCTCTCCTTCCATGGGTGCTGCAGGCCACGCTCTCCTTTCTGTGCAGGAATTGGCGAGGCGGGCTGGACGAGGACGTGCTGGCTAGAAGGGGACATGTGTGGGGCTCAGTGCAGGGCTGCTGGGGGCCCTGGGTCCGTGCAAGGTGCTCTCCTGGGCGGTTCTGAGTATGCACGACCCACCGCGAGCTGTGGGCTGAGAGGCCACATGTTTTTGACTAAAGGAAAGTTAAGTCCAGGGTAATGCTGGCTGCCGGCTCCTTTCCTCCCTGCCCCACCCCTTTGCTCCTTCCTAAAGGGATGGGTCTTGTGTGTGGTGCCCCTCGGGGAGAGGGTCTGTGTGTGTAGTCACTGTCCAGAGTGTTTCCAGTGGCCACTCATCACCCCCCATCCCCAGAGCATCCTTCCCGCGGGTGCACTGGGGATCCCGCCCCCTCCACTGTGGTCAGGTGAGCCTGAGGAGGGGCTGGGACAACTTGGCAGAAGCACCACTGACTGTTTGCCCCATTCTTTACCAGCTTCTCCACCAACCCTCGAAATCTTTGACTAAGGGGAGCTGCCTGTTTCCCAATTTGGGGAGCGTGCAGGGTACCCCCTGCTGGTACCTCCCTTGCCTGTTTTTTTCTTCCAGCTATGCCCCTGTGCTTCCACGACTTAGGCACACAGACCCCCCCCACTCTCCCCTACTGAGGGGGACTCACACACCACAGCATCCCGTCTCCCTCCCCTGACTCCTTCCTGTCTGTCTCTCACAAATACACACATGCACCCATGGGGTCTGAGCCGGGTTGTTCCCTTCAGGATGGGCGGGACCCTTCCCCTTCTCTTTTCCCTTCCTCACGTTGTAAATAGATCACATCACCCCCAGATCACCTGGCCTCCCCACAAACCTTCACTCATTCCAGGGAAGCCTTGGTGGGGTTTCCAACCTCACTGCCACGTCTCTCAGTTCTCTTGTCGTTTGCAAAGATTTGCTGTAAAGTAGATTTCTCTCTCCTCCCTGACCCATCCTTTTACTGTAAATATTGTCTCTAAATGTGTAACATATTATAAAGAATTTATAAGGATTTTTAAAGATGTTTTGCTCATTTAAAAAAGTGCTGTAACAGTGTTGGGTAAACCTCCCTGCCCCACATCCGCATGTCCCCTTCACTGTGTCCCTGACACACCTCTCTAGGCAACAACTAAGATGTCCTGCTTCAGAAAAGTCCTGTCTTAAAAGTCCGGTCTATATCTTGGAAATAAATGGCCTACATTGAAATAAATCGGCTGTCTCGCTTGTTCTGGAGGGAAGAAAGAGCAGAGTGGGGCTGGGATGGGAGAGGAGCCTGGCCCAGAAGAGAGGGGCCGAGGCCTGGGGCAGGTCGTGGGTCATGCCATGGGGAGCGGGTGGGAATCTCCTCCTTCTGGTAGCTTTGTAGGGTTCCTAGGAGACTGGTGTGAGCAAGGACACAGGCTCAGAAGGAGGGCTGGAAGGGCCGGTGCCCTTCTCCTAGGGGAGTTGCAGGCACCTGGGCAGAGGCCAGGCAGGTGCAGACCTGACTGGGACCCTGAATTCGCTTCAGAATGCTCCCAGAGCTCCCAAACCATCCTGCACACACAGGTTTGGGTGAGGTAAGTGCACTGAAGGACTGTCCCTCCACCCCACCCCCGTATCCTGATCAGCTGTCATCATACGCACTCCCACCCACTGCCATTCAGAGTCTTTTCCGACTCTGAGTGACCTTCCATCAGACTCCTGAGGCTGTAAATTTTTTGAGGAGATTAACCATCTTGCCTCCCAGGAGTGACTGGTGGCTTTGAACCATTGACCTTTTTGTTTGAATGCATTAGGCCACTGGAACTCCTTACAGGAAGGCACTGAGGGTCCCAAAGACAATACTCCCAAAGAGCAGTATGGATGCCATCTATTGTCTTATTCACATACATACGCTTAGAACAAGGGAGCTCTGGAACCTAAGGGCAAGAAGCTGTGCTGCAATCCCAAAGGTGCGTGGTTCAAATCCACCAGCTGCTCCGTGGGAGAAGGATGGGCAATCTCCTCTCAGGTAATTACTACCTCTGAAAACCTGCTGGAGGGTCAGCTATGGGTTGGCTCTGACTCTGCGATGCACAGCAGGCTGACATGAAAGTACACCGATAGTACCTCAAACCTGCCGAAGTAAAGAGCAGCAAGGAGGGTAACTATTGTGAAAAAAAAAATGTCAATTTTTTCGGTCTCTAAAAGACAAAATTGCTTACTTCTAAAAGCAGTAATTATAAAAAATTATGTTGATGAACTTAAAATGTGTGAAAGTGTAATTATATAGCAGTAATAGTACAAAAAGGAGCTCTGGTGGCCTTGTGGCAAGAAGCTACACTGCAATCCCACAGGCACATGGCTCAAATCCACCAGCTGCTCTGTAGGAGAAGGATGGGCAATTGCCTTCCGTGCAATTTTTTGCCTCTAGAAACCTGGAAAACTCTGAAAATCTGGGTCAGTTCTGACTCTGAAGTACACAATGACAATAAAACTAGTACAAAACAGCTCTCAGAACCTAATAGGGAGCTCTGGTGACCAAGTGGGTAAGGAGCTGCACTGACAACCCAGAAGCCTGTGGCTCAAAGCCACCAGCTGCTTGCAGGAGGAAAATGCGCCATTTCCCCCAGTGTCATTTACAGCCTCTGAAAACCCGCTGGAGGCCAGCCAAGAGGAAGTAAATGAGTGAATAGTAGCAAAGAATGAGGGAAAAAGGCAGGTGTATTAGAAGGAAGGAAGCTAAGTTTCTGTACATTGTTGAAATTCTGTCCATACCAATTCGACCTATATTGGTTGTTTTTTTTTAATTAGTTTGTTTGACCTATATTGTTTTAAATTAAGATGCTAATCTAATTGTAAGCCCTAGAGCAACCATCAAGAAAATAACGAAAAGTTCTAACTGATTTCTTGGCTGGAACAGGCAGTTTGTGAAAACTTCCTCACCTAAAATTTAGTGGTTCAAACCCACTCAGCAGTGCCTCTGAAGGACAAACTTGAAAATCTACTTCTGTAAAGATTACAGTAAAACCAAACCCAAGCAAATTCAGACCAACCCTACAGAGCAATTCTACTGTGTAACACATGGGGTTGCCAGGAGGCAGAACTGAGTGGGCACCAATGGATTATAATGAGCAAGAGACACTCAAGTTCAAACAGAATTTGTCCAAGGTCACAAGTAGTGAAACCAGGATAAGGCTAATATCCAGGCAAAGGGCACAAACAGAACCTATGAATCTTGGAACCAAGATCAGATGAGAAAGAAAAAAAAAAATTAAAATGAAATAATTCAACAGTAACTAGTTTTATTGAAAAAGACAAGCCCTGAGTTTGAATTCTGGCTCTATTACTTCACAGCTGCAAATCTCAGACTGTTTCCCCTTTCTTTACCCATATATATGGTGGTTAGGTTTGAGTGAGCCCAGGCACTGGCGATTTGTTAAACCAGCAGAGGTGGAGCCTGCCCTCCCTTTGTCCTGCTACAGCTCTTGGCCCACTTCCTTCCTGGCACCGGTCATCGGAGATGATCCCACAGGTATTCATGGTTTTGTCTGAGGCTGACTTCCTGCTAGGTTGAGCCATGGTCCTAGGGAGCCGATGAGCAGCACCCTGACAGGCAGACACTCAGCACATATTCGAAGACGAATGACATGCCTGGGAAACTCCTGGTATGCAAGTGATGGTCCCATTTGTTACTTGATCTTGGACTCCCAGTGAATGGGCTAATTCTGGGAAATGAGGGGATTTTTGGCTATTCTCCCAGATTTCTGGTAGTAAGATGGAGAGAAGGTCGACCTTCTAAAAAGGACATTAAGGATGGTCTGGGGAGAATGAGATTTGGCTGTTCGAAGTCCGAAGATTGGAAGTCAGGTTGCCAAGGGTCTGGGCAGGTGGGTGGTACTAGGGGAGCAAATATTCCCTGTAGACAGTGAGCAGATTTACAGGCTCTACCTGAGGAGGCTGCCAGGGCCTTTCTGAGAAGCAAGCACGACTGAGGTTTCACGAGGGTGGAAGACCAGCTTGGATCTCATGAGGTAGAAGTGATAGAGGTGGTTTAGGAGAGACCCCGTGGAACCCCAGATCTCGGCTAAGCAACAGAAGACTGTCAAGGACAGCTTTAAATACCTTTAGAACATGCTAGAATAGTGGCATAACCTTATGAATTCTAGACCAGCCTGAAACACTTAGGGCATGTGGCCCACTCAGCATCCTACAATGGCTGGGGGCAGTGTGCTGGCAGCAGGGTCTGAATCTAGGCCACCCGCCCACCCAGAATCAAAGGAAAGATGGGAGGAAGTCTCCACTCAGGGACTCTCCAGCCTCAGGAGACCAGGAGATAAGTAGGGCCAGGAGGCCTTTGACGAGGGGCAGCAGATCTGAAATTAGAGCTTCAGGCTTGTGTTTTTCAGACTGGAGTTTTGACCCATCAGAGAGGTTCATGAAATCAACCCGGTGGGTTGTGAACAAAATCTTTAGAATATCATTTAGCAGGAAGTACCGGTGTTGTACATAGTGGTACTAAATTTTATTCATTAAATATATGGGTATGTGCTTTGTTGTGTATACATATCTAAGGGGTAAGACATAAAACACATTTCTTTCATTGTTGTAAATATATATGTAACAAAAAAACACTTGCCAAGTCAACTAAAATGTAGTTCTTACTTAAGCTTGAAAGCAGCTGTTCTACAAACACAGGGCAGAGATACCAGGAAGGGTCATGCACCCCGCAGGGAGCAGAAGGCTGAGGCCTGACCCTAAGGACTGCTTGGTTTGAGGGTAAAGCATGGGCTTAGAGGTCAAGGAGAGCTGGATTCTGATCCTGACTCTGCAGCTTACTAATTGAGTGACACTGGGCGAAAAAAAGCGTCTCGGAGCCAGGACTTTGTTTTCTGCAGACACAGATAAAGGTGCACAGCTGTCTCATTTTTGGTTGAGTTACCTGGAATAGCTGGCTGAGCTAACAGTATCAGGATGGTGGTGCTGGCTCTCCTAGGTCCTTGGGGGCAGCCAGGGGCAGGTTACTCAATAAGCAAGGTATGCACAGGTTTCCTCATGTTTACTTTGCTTATTGGTACTCTAATACAGGGAGCGGGCATCGCCAGCCCCTGAAACCCCATGCCCACCCTCACTCCTTCACATCCCTGCCGCTGAACTGTGTAGGCGGCTGCTCTCAGGGTTCTCTCTCCTCTGTCCCAGCCCAGCGACTCTGGGCCCTCAGAGGAGAAGGTGAGAAATAATCAGACAGCAGCCTAGAGGAAGGAGATCCAGGAGAGGAAAAAGAAACAAATTTTATTAAAGCCCCAAACACTCGGCTAGAAAAACCGAAAGGGAAAGAGAGCAGGGAAATGGGGAGAAAAGGACATTAAAAAAGAGAAAGACAGAAAACACAGCAACCCTTTCCATTTAGAAATTGTCAAGTTACACTGACAGAGGTCACAGAAGATCCACAGAAGCCATCACTGCTACACCAACACAGGCCCTACGGGGTGGACGGGCGGGGTGGAGCCGAGCTCGCCCTGGGAGTCCCTGCCCGGGACCCACTCAGAGCCTTGGGCCCCAGGCTCCTGGGCAAACAGCATTATTGTGGAAGGGGCGGGAGAGAACGCCCCCATGCGAGTAACACAGTACAGTGAGTGGGGGCTTGGGGGGGACCAGGTACAGGGGTCCCCCCAGACATCTTAGTTTCTCTTGGTCAAGCACACACTGATGGACAGAGCAGCGAGGCGCATGCAGCTCGGGGGCGGGAGGCATTGACGTGCTGTGGGCTTCGAGGGTGCCTGGGGGTGGGAGCTTGGGATGGGAGCCAGGGCAAGTGGTGCAAGGATGACACCACACACACACACACACTCTGACGCACCTGAGTCTGTACCAGCACACACCTGTACACACATACACACCACAGGAACACACACCCTGCACACAGGGTCTCACACATCTCAACGTACAGGCCTCTGTCCACACATGCAGCCCCACATGGACAAGTCTCTCACAGGTACACATGAATGCACACGCTCACTGCACACAGCCTCACTTACAAAGCTCCTTACAAACCAAAGTGCAAGCAGATAGGCGCCCATGCCCAAAGAGGCTGCGTCTACTCATGTGTGCTCACTTCCCTGCATGCACACTATACACCATGCCTGTGCACACGCACACACACTCACACGCTTCCCCACACTGGGGTGAGTTTGCACCTACATGAGTGTGTGTGCGCACGCACACACACGCACACACTCTCACACCACGCTGCACACAACTCCACGCAACTACCTCCTGGTCCATAAATGTGCAGGAACCAAAGGGAAAGGAAGATGCAAATCCCACAGGCTCTTTCCAAGCAGGTGGAGTGGGCACGTGGCTCCCCCATCTGCCCCTCCAGGATGGACAGTGCTCCCCTCCTCCCATCCCTCCCCCACAAAGGGACATTCAACTCAGGACAATGACAGTGGGGCACATAGTTCAGGTCACAGGGCGGAGAAGGGGAGGGCGGGGCAAGCAAAGAGTAGCAAGCAGAGAGTAATGGAGTGGAGGGAGGAGGGGGCACCACTCCCCCCTCCCCTCCCAAGTCAGGGGTCTCTGTACAGCCAAATCAAACCAAACCGTGTCACTGGACCACAGAAGCCAGGCCAATGTGCCCACCCAGCCCCCCTCCCCCGCCAAACAGTGGCCAGGGAGAGAGGGCCAGGGTTTTCTTTTTTCTTTTTTAAATATTTATATATATTTATATTACGTATATTATATATATATATAATATGTAAATATATTTTTAAAACAATATAAAATGTTAAGACACTTCACTTAAATGTAAAGAGTTGCCTGCAATTAAAAGTAATTGCATCATTTATGAGGTCCTTTTTTTTCCTTTTTCTATTTTCCAGGGTTTTTTTTTTCTTTTTTTTTAAAGGAGGGATTTTCTGTCCTCTTCTTTTGTTATTTTTCAAAAAGGCTTGCTTGCCTTTGTACAAAAATGATCCAAAGCTAAAAAACAAGGATGAACCAACGACGACAAAAAGAAAACCAACACAAACCCAACAACAACAAAGAAACACAACCCAGCTCCCCTTCCCGCCCCAAACCCCGGGCTCTTCCCCTGCCATGCCCAGGGCAGGAGTCCAAGTCTGGGGTCCCCCTCCTTCGTGGCTTCCTCTTTCTGTGCTTACCAGGGGTGACTAATCCCAGCTCCCCCTCCTCTGTGCTTACCCTACTTTGTGCTCCAAATCAGAACCCAGCAGCCTGGGCCCCCCCCTCCCCACCCCCACCCACTGTGCCTTCCACAGGGCTTCGAACCACCACCCTTCCTCCTCTTCTCCAAGTCCCAGCCTAAAGCCAGACAATAGTCCACATCCTTTCAGGCCAGCCACAGGTCAGGTCAGACCTGGGGTGCCCAAAAGGCTCTCACCTGGGGTCACCAGCTCTCCATTTAAATACCATGTTCTATCCTCAAGGGAGGCCAAGCCACCCCCACCCCCCACCTGTGAGGTCAAAGCTGTCATCATTGTCCCTGTCCAGTTTTGTTCACAACCAGACTCTTCCTACCCTCAAGATCTCAAACCTTAATTTTCTAGCTCCCTCATTCATGCCCACCCCTCCCCATTAAATAAGTTAAAGTCATTTAAAGTGCTAAATTAGGAAACTAAAAGTATCAAATACCCACCCCTTCTCAAGGCTGCCCTCTCCCAGGCAGTGTCCCCTCAGTGCTAGCTGCCTGCTCCACCCCTCCACAGCACAGGCTCCAGATGGCCTCCTGCAGCCTCCATCAGCACAGGCCAGGCAGCTCCTCATGGCCAGTACAGTGAGTCCCAGTAAGCAAGCTCCTCTCCAAGGATACAGATTCCATGGCCTCCCCCTACCCCCAGGCCTCTCAAACTCCTGCCTCCATCTCCAGCCTATCCACTGTGGCAGGGTACAGGGTAGCAGCAGAGTTCAGTCATGTCCTGAGGTTGGACAGGGAACAGGGCCGGGTCTTCCTGTGTCCTGTTTTCTAGCCTGACATCAAGGTTGGTCCAAGGTCCAAGTGTGCTTCCAGGAAGGTATCCAAGAAGAGGAGAAGGGGTCTCTTGCCGCCTGCTCCAAGTCTCCGTGGCTCAGAGTTTGTTTGAAGTACTCTTGGGAAGTTAGGGGGAAGGTGGGGTGGGGAGGGGGGTGCAGAAACTGCAGGATGGACTTGGGAGGAAGAGTGGTGAAAGAGAAAGGGGAGACAGGAAGTGGGCCCACAGGCCATTCTGGAAAAGGAAATCAAGGGAAGGTGGTGTGTTTGGTTTTTACTGGCTATTTAAAAAAAAAATAATAATTATAATTAAAAGTGAATCATTTGAAAAACCAAAAACACCAACGGGGGTGAGTGTGGAGAGCTGAGGGGACCCCATCTGTGGTAAACCCTTCAGAGGGTCTGGAGAATGGGGTGAAGGTGGGATGAAGAGGAGGACGAATGGGGAGAGAAATGGCAGAGGTGAGGGGAAGATGGGGGAGGGTGGAGGTGTGAGGGGGCTTCTAGAAGGATATGGAAGAATTCCTCGCCCCAAAGGAAGTCAATACGGGGATAGAGGTTCTGGAAGCCGAAGGCTTTTCTGAGACTGGGCTTGAGGTCTCATTTGACCCGCTCATCTCTTTAGATGGTTTAGTGGCCTGGAACAAAAACAGGGGTCAGGGGTCAGAGAGCAGAAGGAAGAGCCTTTACACTGGCCCCCAATCAGATCTTTAAAATGAGGAACTTCCACAAATCCAAGAGAAAATTAACTGCAAAACGAAGAAACCAGAGGGGATTCTGTTCTGGAAAGAGTCAGGGAGAAGGTGACAGGCAGAAAGGAGGGTGTGGTGTGGGTCTGGACCAAAGGCCCCCCAGGAAGTCAAGTGGTGGAGGCAGGTCTGAAGTTACTGATGGGAAAGAGAGAAAAAAGAAGAGAAACACAAGGGAGGCCACAGGGAGTGGGCAGAGGGCAGGGGAGGGAGGAAGAAGAAGTGGAAAGTTAGCTGCAGCAGGGAGGTGAGAGCGAGGGGGGCGGTCAGGCTGGGAGTGCGCAGGCTCATAGTGGCAATGGCCAGCAGCCCGTGGACCTTGTCTGGCCCCAGCAAGGGTAGTGATGAGACCCGAGGACCAGCGTCTTTGCAGAGCACTCCTTTATCAAGTCCAGCTCCAGCCTTCTACCCAATATTCGACCACCCATTGCCCCCCATCATTTGTTCTCCAGCTTCAGGTACATATTAGTTCTAGAGATCTGTCCTCTGGAGCTGGGGGTCTCCTCATTATGGATCAGAAGGTATTTGCATCACTTGGTGGGGATGACATGCACACCATGCAGTGCAAGTTCTTGGGACTGCAGCAGCCTGCTTTTTAAGTGCCTGAGTGACTAGGCTGTACGCTGTACGCTTAATGTTAAAATCCTCCTCTCCCTCCAGCCTCATTTAGCTGCCGGTGAGATAAGAGAAACCTCTAGCTAAGAAAAGACTGAGAACAGGTCTGCAAACAGCCCTGTGACGTTTCACCAGAGACCTGCTCCTCCCCTACAGGTTAGGTCTGGGCAGGGTCATTTCCCTCAGGCTCCTGACACCTAGTGACCTTCCTCCCTCCCAAGGACAGGATAGGAGATCACTGTCAGCCACTTCACTGGGGTAAAGCTCGGCAGTACAGAAAGCAGCCCTGCCCCCATATCCTGGAAGTCTTAAGGAAAAGAAGGAGACCACTGCCCAGCATGGCTGGCACCTGCCATCTCTCCTTCTGCCCATGCTCTGTGGTGACGTGTACTTCCTCTTGACAGGAACACCCCACCACCCTACTCTGTACTTGGCCTAGTCTACATTTTACCCAATCGGGACTTGCGGTCCCTCATCTCTTTATGCAGACGCATATCCATTACTCAAAGGGGTTCAAAGGTCACATCCACAAGATCTATTGCTTCACTGAATCATGGTCAAATACCAACCATGTGCCAGCAAGGCCCCTGGTGCTGACGGGACTCCCAGGACCTGGAGACAAAGTCACTGAAGGCAGCCAAGAGGTCTTCAGCGCCCCACCCTCCTTCTCCAACCATCGCCATTTAGACGTTTCTCCCAACACCAGATGGAGAGGTGGCATGCCTAACTTCTCTCTGATGTCTCATGTTTCAGCATATCCTCGGCAAGGTGGTGACTCTACACTCTTCTTCTCACCTCTCCTGTGTTCTGAACCAATCTTTCTATTCCTTCCTTCTAGCATTTTTCAAGAAACTCAGTCCATCCCAAGCTTGAGTCTTGAGACATCTGCCTTTGTCGCTTGTGTGTTCACACTGGGGATGTGTCCTCACCCGGGAGCCATGCCCCTCCTCCTATGCTCAGTGCCAGCTCTTTAAATATCCACATGCAGCCGCGTTCTCCAGTTCACATGGTACCCCCCTTTTCTTCCTTACAGACACCATTATGACCATGCTGGAGGCATCTGTTCCCAGTCCTCTCAGGCGGTCTGCCCTTCCTTCCAGAACGGTGGCATTCAAAACCCACTTTTCCATCCAACTATGCCCAGTGACTTGCCTGGAGGGGCCCCAACTTCTCAGATGACACAGCTGCAGTCTCTGAGGGTTCCTGCCACTTTCGTTTCACCAGTCAGTCCTCTCTCATTGGTCCCAATTATGTCTAGAGAAGCAGAATGCTACCACCTCTTTGGCAAAGAAGAAACCTCAAGAGATGTATCACCTGCAGCTGGCGAAATATGGGACAGTCAGTGGAGCCTGGAACTGAGCGCTGCAGTGGGCTCTTGTGGGGAGTCTGTCCCCTCCATGCCCAGAGCACGGGTCACGCTCCAGGGTGGAGTCGTCCTCTAGGCTGTTGCTCATCTCCACACTGCAGACCCTGTTGCCTGTCTCCTCCAGGGTCCTTCCCAGTACCTCCTCCATACACACCCTTTCCCTTGTTATGTAATCTTGCCCAAATCAGGCATTGAGCTGCCAAGGCCTTCAGGAGAGGCTGGGCTTCCTCCAGCACATGGAACAATGTATTCTCTTGGTAAGTGACTCAGTCAGCAGTGGGCCAATGAGAAGAGAGGGGAGATCTGCAGGGGCTCTGGGTAAGTTTTATGTGAAAACCCATGAATCTCAGCTGCTCTTCTGGGCATGAAGGAGGAAGTAGCCCGGATGGGATGAGGTGAGCTCCTCCACAGTGGCAGCAGGAAAGGGGGTAAAGGTGGGTGTCAAGACCACAGTAAGGGGGCAAGAGAATGCTATCCACCTCGTTGTCACTAGTGACAGGAGCTGGAACTCAGGAGTGGGAGTCCAGTGCAGGTAGGTGTAAAATAAGTTACTGGGGTGTGAAGACAGTGTGAGAGGTTGGACCAAGACAGGTGGGGACTGGACGGCTGGTCTCTGCATACTCTCCCAGGAGCCACTGGGCAGACAAGACCTGGGGCACCCAGAGCTGGCAAAGCACCACGTAATACAAAGGGCTTTGATGTCTTCTTGCACCTTGAGATGTCCTCATAGCTGACCCTCAAGTGCGTTTTTAAAGACCATAAATTGCACAGGAGATGGCCCATCTTTCTCCCTTGGAGCACTTAATGGATTTGAACCACATGACTCTGGGTTGGCAATGCAGCTCCTTACCCACTAGGCCACCAGAGCAGTTAACTCCTTCTCCCCTTCCCTGAGCCTAGAGCTACCTTCAATTCAAAGCATGAAGACATTTCATCATCCTCGTCCCATCCCAGCACCCAAATTGGTCGTTCCCCAAGAGCTGTTCACAGTAGTTACTGAACCAAACCAGTGCATGCTGGGGCTCTCTCAACACCCTGGCCCAGGGGCCACCTTGTACCCTCCTTCCAGACACATGAATGTGTACTGGTGAGGTGTGTCTACTACATACTTGGTCCCCAAACCCAGTAATTTAACCTAAAAAAGGCTGCAGTGTGCCAGCAACTTGCTCCATGGTCCCACCTCTTCTGGGGGAAAAAGTCCCTCTCCCATGTCTCCTACCCCACCCCAAAGTCAGCTGCAAATAGAGTGAACCCCAAATACAAAGCTGAAAAGCAGCTACAAACTGGTTTCTCTGCTGGCTGGGGACATCACTAAGAGCTAAGAGGGGGATGACGATGAGGGGGGGGGGCTTCTGAGAGCCTGTGGAAGGCAGAGCACAGGGAGAAGGCAGGGGGAGGAGCAGGGTCACAGGAAGAGAGAGGGGCTAAAAGTGCACCTCCACAAGCTGGCCAGGCACCCCCCTCGCCACCTCCTCTGTCAGGAGGAGGGTAGGAAATGGGAAGCCAGGGACAAGGTCTCTTGACAAGGGACTTGGCTAAGAAGTCACATTCTAATCTAAAGCATAGCTGTGATGGTGGGGGTGCGAGGTGGGAGAGGGAGCAGGTGGCAACATGACTGCTGGGCAGTGCTGGCCTGTGAGGGGCTCTCTGGGCAGCAGAGTGGAAGGGGTAGGAGTCATCCTCCAACAGCAAAGATTCAGCACCCACAGCTGCTGAGGGACCTGGTGGGCTCTGGCCCTCCCCACCCCCACCCCACTTACCTGCTGCTGGGCCTGGATCCGCATGTACTCAGCCCGCTGCTTACTGTGCTTGCTCTTGTCAGGGCTGCCTGTCTGGCCCTGGGCTGCCTTCAGCCGTGAGGCCCCTGGAGTCACGACCTTCATGGATGGTACGCCGCTGCCGCCACTCTGCAAAAAGAGGCACAGGGTTGAGCTGAGGCTGCAGGGGAAGGTGGCATCACATGGGACTCCCAAGGGTGTCTGGGCCAGGACCTACTTAGTGGAGACCCTCCCTGGGTCCATCTAGTCCAAGATTCATTCCTAGCAGCTCTGGAGTGGGAATGGTGGTGGTTCCCTTGAGCAGCCCAGACAGCCGGTGTCCTCCTAAGAGTCACTCCACAGTGACGGTCTAGCCCACCCCAATTCTAGACAAGGTCCCAGGCCTGGGCCGGGAGCCATAGTGCAGGCTGGACGGAGTCTCTGTAATGGCAGGTAGAGCAGCTCCAGGCTGACATTCTTCTCCTTACAGGAGGATGGGGATGCGGTCTCCTTGGGATGGAGAAACATGAACTAAGTTGGGCCCCTTGAAGCACAACCCAGGTATAGTGTCAGGGGACCCAGAAACGCAGGCGGAGAAACCAGAGACAGAGAGAGTCTGAGACAGGAGGGGGAGGGGGAAGGGGGGTACATGGATGGAAATGGGGAGAGAACTTTATTTGTCTGTGTACAGATACAGAGCAGAGGGGAAGGGCTGGGTGCCTGCCCTGGGCTGGGTGGGCAGATCCCTGGGTGAGCCAGCTTCCCAGCCTCCCCTGGGCTCTGCCTGAGACCCTCTGCCAGACACTAGGCTCCCAGACGACACCAGGAGTTGAGAGAGGCCAGTGGGAAGAAGGGGCTGGGGTGGTGCTCCTGCAGCCCCCCCGCACTCCCTCTAAGACAGACAGACAGACTGGAACGTCTAGGCAGGAGCGGAGCACAGCAGAGGAGGCAGCCACCTGGGAACCGGGGAACATAGGCAGGGAACTTCCAGGGGGCCCCATGATGGTGACTGAGCCCATTTCATTCAGGGTGGCTTCCAACTCCTGAAGTGTCTCCTCGAGGCTGTCCACCCGCTGGGGGCTTGTGGTCCTCACTGAGTGGGTGAGGCCAGTGGCCACTGGGCCTTGGGACTTGCTTCTGCAGGTCTGAAAGCCCTGTCCAGAGTGCCTGGGGATCTCCTCTTGGTGGTGGTCTTCTGAAGTGGAGGAATCCAGAGTCCTCTCCAAAGCTGATCCCCGAATACCAGGGGCCCCAGCTGTTCCATCCTCTGGACTACGGACCCCTCCATCCAGTCTTTTTAGAGCTGCCCCTTCCTTCTCAGGCATCGAGTAGCTCCTGGGTCGGGCATGCTCAGCCACGACTCTCCGGGGGACCTGTGGGCCATCCCAGCCTCTCTCATTGCCAGTCACGGTGCGGGGACGTGGGATGGGAGCCGTCCTGAGGCCAGGTTCCTCAGGCCTGGCCTCTGGTGGGGAGGGAGGACTGCTGGGGGCACATTCTGTTAAGATGATCCGAGGGATGCAGAAGGCTCTAGGACCTGGGGCAGCCTGAGGGGAGAAGGAAGACAAGGAAAAGTGTAACTTTTGCAAGCCAAAGTCCTCAAGCAGGGATGTGGGGCTGGAGATGGGTGGGTGCAGTCTTTTCACTGACAGGGCAACTGAGGTAGGGGAGGCAGAGCCAGTGCTGGGACTAGAACTCAGGTCTTTATCTGTCACATCTTTAGCATCCCACCTTCTGACAAAGATGCGCATTTATTTAGAAGCACTAATCCAGTGTTTCTAAGTCACTTCTCATCTGGTGGTTGAGCTCTGGGAGCCGGCCTCCCCTGTGGCTACTCGTGCTGATTCTGAGCAGTGGGAGAACGATACCTGCTAGTGCCACACATGGGCAGGGGTGAGTCAGAAGTGCTCGATAAACAGGAGCTGTTTGCTGAAATGCACTGAGTAACCGAGACCATCAGCTCAACAGGCAGGGAACTCGAGGACGGGGCTGTCATTCTGCCTTAGGTCACCTCCAACCACCACCTTCCTCTAGTCACAAGGTGAAGAGCTTGGTCTTTACCAAGACACACACCTGGCAAAGCTCTTACTGGCCACCTACTACGGTGCGAGCAGCCCGGGCTCTGATTTCTGGTCTTACCTCAACTTCAGGAAAGCACAGACTAACTCCAATGATGAATTTGGGGCCAGGAGCTACCACCTATGTCTTCAATCCTCCCTGTAAATAATCTGTGACATGCCCACTACTCTCACTGTCCTCACTTTACAAATGAGGATGTTAAAGTTGGGAGACAGTGATTCACCCAAGGTTGCCTAATACAGCTGGTCAATGGCAGAGCCAGGATTTGAAATCCAGGCAGTGTGATTTCCAGATCAGTGCTCTTCACTAGAAAGGGTCAGAGGGAAATACATGGGAGCAGTAGAGACCCCTAATTCCTCCCTCCCCAGGCAACCCAGCCAGCCCTGTCGCCTGCTTACCTGGAGGTAGGGGTGTAGACTGAAGAGGCAGAGTGGACAGCCCCGGGCGTCCAACGCCACTGCCCGATGGCAGCTCAGGATGCAGAGGATCAGCAAGACCCAAAAGGTCGGGCCCGGGCTGTGCCCACCAGCCTCTTCAGGACTGGCGGCCAGAGCCAGAAGGAGGCAGGGGCAGGATGCTAAGGGTGTGGCTAGTGCAGGAGGCGCCATCTCCCTACTGCCCAGTCCTGCATAGTTCCTGGACTGTTCTGCCCCCAACTCTTGCCAAGCAGGCAGCATTATCCACCCATCTGGTACTTGTCTGCTTCCCAAGCTGGGGAGCAGCACCATCAGGCTTCAACCAAGACCAGAAAACAGGTGGGGTCAGCCCAGTGTGGACCAGGGTCAGTGAGGTGAGCAGAGGAAGTGTATCTGTTCCTCCCTGAAGCAGGAACCCTTCTGCCTCAACCGCTATGCTTGAACTTGGCTGGGCCCCTTGGCTGGGCAGAGGGCAAGATGCCCGTACCCCCTTCCCTGCCCTCCCAAGTCAGTAGAACAGTCTCCATGGGTGCAGACAACAGGTCCACCCCCGATTCCCAAGAAAGAATAAAGAGAAAATAAGTGCAGCAGGACAGCAGCAAGGATTGAAGTTAAACCGAAGGAAGAACTCCCCAATGCTAAAAGAGAACCAGCAGCCAAGGAAGGGTACAGGTTTCTTCCACTCCAAGCTCCTGAACCAGAAGGCACAAGATGGGGCTATGGGAGGAAGAAGGCTGTAGAAGAGCCTTTCCTTCTGTGGTGCCCTGGTGCCCACAGCTAAGTCACGGATTCTAATGGAGCCTCCACCTGGTCCAGTCAGCAGAGGAGGGGAGGGGGGGTGAGGACTAGGCAGGGGCCCAATCCAAAGCCTGATTTTCAGCCAGACCTAAAGTTATGTTGTGAGAAAGATCCAAACTCCAATCTTATACCAAGATAAAATTCAGGCTTCATGCCAGACCAAAAGTCAGGCAGCAGGTCAGAATAAAATAGCCCAAATTCAATGGGCTGGATCAGAATAAGCCTTAAAGAAGTAAGCTCAAGTACCACCAGGCACACAGGCACGAGGCAGAGGGTCAGTCTCTGGGGAAGCTGGAGGGAAGCAAGGGTCTCGCGCCTGGTCCCCAAGGGAGGGGGTGAGTCCAAGGGAGGTGTGTGAAGCTAGGCCAGTGGGGGTGCAGGGCTGTGACCGGCATGTTAGCAGGTTAGCGTGAGAGGTGAGGAGAGGAAGCTGTGGAGGGACAGGCAGAAAGAGAGCTGTGAGAGTTGAGGGCAGCCCCGTTACCTTCCATGTGGGGCCCAGAGCTGAGCCCCCGGGGGGCCCCAGGTCCTGGGGGGACAGCAAGGTGGGGATCAGCTGACGACGGGGCGTAGGGGGAAGGGAAGACACTGAACTTCTCTCAAACACCTGGGGAGTAGAAGGTGGGGGCAGGTTTGGAGAAAAAGGCCACAAGGAGGATGGGGGCTGGCCTATGGCCCAGGTACCCACAGGAACGGGTCACATGGGCTGGCACTGGACCCCACGCCTCATCCTGTGGGCCCTCACTCCGTGAGCCCTCACCATGGCATGGCCACTGGCCCAATCTGTCCTCTCATCTCCTCCAGACACTCCTAGCAGTCCAAGCTCTGCACATGCCTGGAGATAAGGCCACCTAGAACACCTGAGTATGGGTTTTACAAAGTACAAGGGTCCAAGCCACTCAGGCGTGGGGGTCTCCAGGCACCTCATCTTAGAACATTCAGGTATGGGGGTTCAGAGCACATGGAGTTTCCAGAATACTCAGAAAGCACCCGGCATTCTCAGAATATTCAGGTGTGAGGGCTCAGAGGACCAGGAATTCTCAGAACACTCAGGTGGACCTTGGGGCACCTGGCATTCTCAGAACACTCAGGAGTGGGGCTCAGGGTACCCAGCATTCTCAGAACACCTGGCATTTTCAGAATACTCAGGTGGGGGGTTCAGAGCACCCAATATTCTCAGAACACGCAGATGTGGGGGCTCTGAGCACCCGGCATTCTCGGAACACTCAGGAGTGGGGTTTTACATCATTAGGAGAGTTTCAAGTCACTTAGGTATGGGGGTATCTGAACGCTGAGGTACAGTACAGAAGTCTTCGAGCACTCTGTCCTGAGGGTTCTCCATGTGGGATCTCCAACCACTCCATGTTCTCAGAACACCTGAGTATGGGTCTCTCAGAGCAGTGCTCTCAGAACTTGGGTTTGGGGGCACAGAGTACTCAGTATTCTCAGCACGTTTAAATACAGGGTTTTCAGAGCACTCTGCTCATTTGGGAATAGGGTCTCGAAACACATGAGCCTGTGGCCTTGGAGGATTCTGTTTTCAAGACACACAGTTCTGGGGGTCTTACTCTGCACTCAGGTTACTGGAGTGTGGTGTCTTGGGGCACTTTGTTCTCAGAACACTCAGATACAGAGCCTGAGGGCACACTGTTCTCAGGACATGCAGGTATAGGGGTCTCAGAGCACAAGTTTTCTGAGATTCCAAACAACAAATTCATATCTACAAGGGCTTTGGATGCTCCCTCCACATTTTTCAGTGAAGAAGTCAAGGCTAAGAAGATGGAGTTCCAAACAGGGCAGTGTTGAGTCATGATCCCAATGGTCTAGAAACGTGTCCCAGTCCTGCCACCTGGCCTGGGAGGCAGCTAGAAAAAGGACTGGGCTGTGGCTGAGGCTCGCAGACGAGGAGTGGCCCTGACCCACCTCCAGCTCTGCAATGATGCGGTCCTCATCGTCCTCATCCTTGATAGCAGAGGCCATGATGGGCGGCGTGGAGGCTGGGCGGGCCACCTCGGACACTGTCCGGCGTAGCTTCACCTGGGGCTTTTGTACCTCCAGCTCTTCCGACTCAGCCTTCTGCAAGGCAAGTGCCCCATCAAGACCAGCCTCTGCCCCTTGAAACATCTGCCACCACCCAGCAACTCCAGATCCTTATCTGCCACTTCCTCCATCCTGTCAGGGCTGTTCCCCCAAACGACAGAAGCCTGGGGTAGAACAAACACATACCCTTGGGACCCTAAGCCATAGGTAGAGTCACCACTGGCCATTCTCTTTGCCTTGCACTCCCTCTGAGAGCCCTCCCGCCCCACCACGAGGTTCTCCAGCGGTTCTCAGGCATCCTCCTAACTCAGCCTCCATCCTCTATGCATGGTGGCAGCAGTACCTTGATGAAGGTAGAGTCCTTTTTGCTGGTGACCACAACCTCACCGGTGCGTGTGGTGGTCAGGCCATGGGAGGAGGGGAAGCTCCGACGGGGCGGGGGTGGCGGGGGTGACTTGGAGGGCTTCTCTGTGCGATAGCGGGGTACTGTCAGCTCATCTGCAGACAGCCAAGGGGTCAAGGGTCAGAGGGACCACAAGCCCAGAGTCAGGGCTTAACCCTGACTCTAGGGTAAGTCCTGCTGTTTCTTCCAGGGAAGATGGATGAGGAGAAAGGGCAGGAAAAGACGTACCACCCACCACCCTTCCCTCTCATCTCCCATGCAATCCAGACCAAGCCCTGTCAATTCTTCCTTGTATAGCACTCCACATGTCCTACTAAAAATGTGGTCCCTGGACCATCAGCGCCAGCTGTCCTGGGAGCTTGTGAGATCTGATTTGCACGTAACAGATCAGGTGACTCATGTGCATGGTCCAATTTAGGAGGCACTGCTCTCAGTTCACCTCCCCACCCACTCCTCAGCCAGCTAGGGCTGGACCTTTATCCTTTCTCAACAGCAGTCGTTACCCAGGAGGCTGAAAGTCTCAACTCTCTTACTGTTCTCTTTCCTGTGTTGTTCCCAGGCCTTGTTTCTAGGACCACCTGCTGAAAGCCATTCTACCTGCCTTTTGTTCCTCCTGTGGCTCCTATCACCCCAAGACCCTTGGCCCAACTTCTTCTACGCCTGTTAGTCTTTCAGTCTTGGCTACACTTGCTATGCCCAAGCTTGGCAGCGGCCTGACAACACCAAATTCATACCTTTAGGGATTTGCCCTATCCTTTGTATTGGCAGCACAATTCCTTACCACTCAGCCACCAGAGCTCCCTGACCAGAGAAGAGTCTTAATTTTCAAGATACCAGTAGCATGTCTCCTCCTCCAGGAAGCCCTTCCTGCTTTACCAGGGCTCCTGGAGGATGACACAACACTGCCATAGACATTTAACACTTGTATTCTTTTTCTGATTTTACATACTAGGTACAGCCTGGGGTATATCATGTAACCACACTGTACCTTAGTGTCATTTGCAAAATGGGAATAATGGCTGTATTTACTTCCAGGGTTTAGTATGAAATCATAAAGATGTATTTGGGATAGTTCTTGTCACCAAAGCCCACTGCTGTATAATTTACTCTAATTCATAATTCTAATTCATAGATATAATTAGCTCTGGTAGTATAGTGGTAAGGAGTTGCACTGACATCCCAAAGGCATGTGGTTCAAATCCACTAGCTGCTCCGCAGGAGAAAGATGGGTAATCTCTTCCTGGGCCATTTACTGTCTCTTCAAAGTCACAGGATCAGCTATGAGTCAGTTCTGACTAGATAGTATAAATTATAACAACAACTTATAGTGACTTTATAGAATAAATTAGAAATGGCCGATATGGTCCCCAATGCTGGACTCTTTACAGAAAAGACCAACACATCTCTATCCAAGAGTGGCTGGAGTGTTCAAACTGCTAACTAGTGAGTGCTTTAAGCAATTCACTAACACAATTTCCTTGGTCACTGAGTAAGAGCTTAGTAATTATAAGCATTAACATGATTTCCCCCATCAGAATTTCCTTGAAAGCAAGCATTATGTTAACCCCTTTTTCTTCCTCAGTACCTGGCACACAAACAGTGATTGCCAGTTTCAAAGACTTCTGCCTCCTGCACAAGCCTGAGTGAGCTCTGGTGACCTAGTGGATACGGAATTGCACTGCCAACCCAAAGGCATAAAGTTCGAATCCACCAGTCACTCTGAGGGAGAAGATGGCAGTCTCCTCCCATGTGATTTATTGTCTCTGAAAATCCACCAGAGCATCAGTTATGAGTCAGTTACACATGAAAACAATCACAGGCCTGAGGGAGCTCTGGTGGCTTAGTGGTAAAGAATTACACTGTCATTATTTGTTTTATAATTTCGTTTTTGTATGCTTTCCAGGTTGTGAATCCAGGTTTTTCTCTTAGAATTCATTTTAATTAGAAAACATGCTTTTACTTCCCACTATTTAATTAATGGCCTATGTGCACATATATGACAGTATGCTTAAATTGTTAATAACGTACTTGGTACTTAAGAACTACAATTTCACATTGGGGGGAAAAAAAAGAACTGCTAGCTTTAAGGTATACCCAGTCCGAATCCAACAGCCACTCTGGGAAGAAAGATGGGCAATCTCCTCCCATGCCATTTCGAGATAAGTACCCTTGATGAGTAGATCCTGTGCCACTTACTGCCTCTGAAAACCCACTGAAAACCCACTGGAGGCTCCGGTGTAAGTCAATCCTGACTAACCAGTACCTAACAAGAACTAAAAGCCTGGGAACTTGGGGGCCCAGGAATCACATCAGTAGTGATGATAGATCATAGCAAAACCAGTTCACAGCATGCACTTGGGCAACACAAACATGCAGGCACAGGACTCTCTCGGCAGCCCTCAGGGCAGTGGAAAAGGATTAGATGGAGTGAGGTTTCTGCCTCTATTCCACCCTCCTCTTCCCTGGGCCTCAGTGTCCCCTCAGAGGGTGAGGGTGGATCTGCTAATTGCCCTTCTCTGGCAGCCTGACCTCATTGATTTTCACCCCCAAGTGCCTCCCCCAGCAGCCTGAGCTCCTGAGGATGGAAATCCTCTCCTCCAGGCCCTGCACCCATATCTGGGCCCTGCTCCCATACCTGAGCCCCTCCTCCCACTGGGCTCTGTTCGAGGAGCTGCTTTTTGCCCGTGGGGAATCTTGGGGGGCTTGTGATCAGGGGTAGGAGCCGGGCCGGGATGGGCCTTGCTTGCACAGTCCAGGTCAGGAATGGCCTTGAGCAGCTCTGCCTGCGTCTCCTCCAGCAGCCGGTTGATGTCTTTGGCGCTATACTGGGTCAGGGCAGCTCGCTTCTCCTCCCAGTCCCGCTCTGCAGCCTTGAGAGGAGGGAGTGAGAGTCAGATGGCACTGGTTACACTGCTCCAGGATGTCTGTGACCACAGGCCCTCTCCCGGTCACACATGCAAATAATAGAAAAGGGAACCTCACGTCTGATGTGGGCCCTGGGAGGACCCTCAACTCCTCCTTGAGCAATGCATGTTTTCCCCCTGCGTCTGCAATGCCAGTTCAATTATGTATTGCACGCTTGATATACTTGGACCTGGATATTCTGTTCTGTTTCACTAACTGAGTAGTTTATTCTTAGACTAATACCCATATTGGCCTCTGGCAGCTTGAGCTGCACTGCCAACTTAAAGGCATGCTGTTCGAATCCACCAGCTGCTCCACGAGAGAAAGAAAGGTAATCCACTCCCACCACTCCCACTGCAATTTACTGCCTCTGAAAACCTGCTGGAGTTGATTCTGACTCCATAGCACATAACAACATCATAATATGTCTGTTTGTTTTGCTGTTCTAGCAGGACTAACATCACCTTAGTTATGTTTCCCAGACTTCCATTAGAGAAATGACTCCCTCCTCATGGAAAAAGTACCCACATGCTCTTACTTCCCACCCTAGGGTGGCAGTACGCACAGTGGACCTAGTGCACTACCCTAACCCGTCCCAGGCCCCAGCACCTCAACAGACACAGCCTTGTCCATGTTCCTCTTGCCAGGAGTGTCCAAGCCTTTGGTGGGGTTGCTGCCCTTGGGAGTCAAGGGAGCACCCTCAGCTGGCCCACTCAGCTCATGCAGGTTCAGTGGAGGGCTGGGGGGTGGCATCTCAAAGTCCAAGCTCTTGTTGAAGTCCGTTTCAGCTGTCATCTTCTTGGGGGACTGATTCAAAAGGTTGTTGGGGGGTGGCCACGCACCCTCATCCACTTGCCTAGGGTTGGGAGAGTTGGGAGCAACTATGAGGCCCTGTAGGAAAGAATCTGGGCCTGAAGGAGGTAGGGGTGAAGAGCTGTGGGACCTTGCAGGAGAGACAGACAGCTGGGGGAACACAGATCATATTCAGCATAAAGGAAAGCTGAGCCTATAGCATGCAGATGGGTTAAGGGTCAAAGCTGAAAGGCAGGTCCAGGCGGCACATCAGTGGCCTTCAGTGATATCAGGACAAGGGTTCAGCTCAATTTACTGATCTGGACCCAGTGTGAGACTCATGGGAAATGAAATGTCAGAGATAAAAGGTCAGGGATGGAATGACCTTCGGATCTGTGCCAGTGTGTCCGTGACGCCACGGCAGCGCTTGAGTAGCCCATCCAGGCGCTGTGGCTCCTCTTTCAGAAACTTCACTGCCTCCACCTCCACACGCAGCACTACCCGCATCTTGCTCTGCAGGCCTGGGAAGTGAGCTGAAGGGAGGGTGGGAAGGAGGGAGCTTGGAATAAGAGCACTGAGGACTAGAAGGATGGACAACAGGAAGGAGAGTTGGGGTAGGGCCTAGGAGTGTTGAGGGAACCCCCTCCTTGATCACAGGCCAAACTGACCAGCCCCAAGGCTCACCCTTGAGTTCAGTCAGTGTCTCTCCAAGCTGTTTCAGCACCAGTGCCTTCTCCTCCAGTTCAGGCCCAGGCACCAGCCGATGATTATGGGACACATCCCTCTGGATCTTCTCCACTGACTTCTCCAAATCACTGTAGCCACAGAGAGACCCTCTCAGCCCCTCTGGTCCCAGCCTAGCCCCCTGACACTGGGAAGCTAGAAAGAAATCAGGCCATAGATCAGACCAAAACTAAAGACAGACACATCAGGGAAGGTGGAAAAAACCCACTTTAATTCATATACTACACTCTTGTTATGCTACAACTCTTTCTGGACATTCTGTTCTGTTTCATTGCACAGCTTATTCTTATACTAACACCATGCTGCTTTAATTATTAGAGTTCTGCAATATTTTCAACCAGGCTAGCAGGACTAATATCATCATTGTTAATGCTTTTCAGACTTCCATGAAGGAACTGGTGGGCCTTCTCATCTTAGGGAGGGGGGGAGAGAGAGAGAGAGAGACACCCAAGTGAAAGTAGAAGCACCCACTCGCAGAAATGAAGAGACCTTGTGAGAGGCCCTGGGCACCACCACTAGGACTTTGATCTTGAGCAAGCTTGGTCCAAATCTGCAATTTGGATCCCCTGACCCCAGTCTGCAAGGGAAGCAAAAGAGACCTCAGCTATCTTTCTGAAGGCTACAGGCAGTGGCACATGTCCCCAGGGGGTTGCTTCTCTGGAGAGGTCACTGACATGTCCATCTACCACTTCTCAATTGATCTAATCACTCAGTCCTTTTCCTTGGGGCCTAAGACTGTTTTAGATTTCCAGTTGGTTTATGCTGAATTTGGCCATCTAAGACACTCCCATCTTTCTAAAGTACCAGTCAAACCAAATCACTATTCTTTGAACCTTAAGTAAATCTCTTTATTCTCTGGTTAAAACCCTAACTCTCTAATACATTGATCGAATGAAGGCTTAAGAGCAATAGGCTCAAAACTTGGCTCTGAAATCAGAAAGACTGAAGGGCTGATCCCAGCTCAGTCCTTCCCAGCTGAGAAATCTAGGCAAGCTATGCAATTTCTCCAGGCATCAAACTTCTTGACCCCAAAAATGGGAGGGTAAGAGTTCCTCCATCATGGGGTCGCTGTGAGGATAAAATAAAGGTAAAAAAACAAGGGACAAGAGTCTAGTCCTGGGAAGCCATTCTTATCTGGCTTGGCTGGTTTGTTTAGAGCAGTTCAGAATTCTCTTGCTAATTTCTATGCCCAGAACACACACCTCCCCCATTGGACAATCTCCAATTCAGGTCTCAACAGACTCTACACTCAGGGCTGGGGCTCTGTTTCATGTCCCCCAAACTCCTGAAGCTTTTTGCTGAACTGTATACACTTCAGGCCCATCAACTCCAAGCAGGCAGTGATGTGCCGTCTGAGTTCACCTCTGATCCTCAGAGCCTGGCATGGTGCCTGGTGCAGAGTAGATGTCTGATAAATAATTGTGGCATGAATGAATAAATGAAGGCAGGAACTGCCATCCAGGTAGGTCATCTCTATTCTGCGCTTGAGCCATTGACATCCCTGACCCACATGTGGGACTTTACATCCATTCCTGTCAAATCCCATCTGCTGGATTTCAGCCTGACAATCCAGGTGAGAACAACTTTTGAATCTCCAGCCATCCAACAGATTTGCTCCCCCTTACAGTTCTGTGTCAGCAGCAAATCTTATCAGCATGCCTTAGACATCTTCATCCAACCAGCAGGTGAAAAGCCAGACTAGGATGGAGCCAAGAGCAAAATCCCATGACTCAGCACAAACAGTAAAAGCACTATCTTGAACTAAATACTGTATGCCACGCTCAGCCCTTGACTTCCACTACCTTATTTAATTCTCACAATAAATTCTGAGGCAAGAACTGTTAATACTACAAGTTAACACATGGACAAATAATGGCCCAGTGACCAGACTACATTTCCCAGCTTCCTTTGCAGTTATTGTTACCAGGTGTCCCAAAGTTGGTGCTCGTAATGACCCGATGCACAACTAAGCAAAACCGCCCAGTCCGTCACCATCCTCACAATCTCTGCTGTGCTTAAGCCCACTCCTGCAGCCTCGTGTCAACCTATCTCACTGACAGAAGTGGCCATTCAGCCTAAGGTCTAACTACTGGAATATATGCTGCTTTCGGACCTTTCCCCAGGTGCTCCCATGAAAGCTCCTCCATTCTCTTTCCTCCTCCTGGCTGAGTGGATATAACCAATGACTCCAGTGGATGACCTCAGAAGGCACATGCTGAAGTTGGCAGGAACCCCTATTGGCCTGAATCCCTGAATAACTGCTTGGAGGAAAGTCATGCCATTAACCCATTCAATACTGTTTCATAAGAAAGAAAGACTTCTTTTCTGATGCTTGAACCATCATAGCGCCAATACCTTGGGAACTTATTTGTTGTAAAATCCCTGAGTGCTGGAAATAGTTAATGTTCTTGGTTGCTAATCAAAAAGTTAGCACCTACCCAGAAGTGCCTCCAAAGAAAGGACTGGTGACCAACTTCTCCCCCAAAAATCCTGTCACTGAAAGCTTTACAAATTACGTCCTATTTTGACAAACATGGGGAGTGCCAAGAACAAGAAGTGAATCGCAACCGGGTTACTGGTTTATTACAACTGCTAGCAGGAGTGTCATCCTCTTCCTAAACATCATGCCTCCAGAAACTATGAACTTTTATAAATGTCGATTGTTGCAGAGAGGCGTCAGGTCTTTTGTTCACAGAGTTGCTATGAGTCATGCTCGACTCGTAGGGAATCAACAACAACAACATCTCTGATTAATTAAGACGCTCTAGTGTCTATGCGTAAGGAGTCGTACTGCCAACCCAAAGGCAGATAGTTCTAATCCACCAGCTGCTCCTCAGAAGAAAGACGGGCAATCTCTCATGCAATTTACAGCCTTTAAAAACTTGCTGGAGGGTCAGCTATGAGTCAGTCACAACTTGACAGCAATGAGCTTTGGGTTTGAGTTCTGATTAATTCAGTTGTTTGCTGCCATTAAGAAAATCAAAATGATTATGTAATTTGCACAAGATTATAGGGCTGTGTCTTGTTAAAACAGGATCTACTTCAGCCATTGGGTTCTGTTGCATGTGATTTCCACACTGGACTGACAACACTCCTACTATCCCTCAACCTGGAAAGAACAAGTCATCTCAGCCTGAGTGCATGACACCTGACTAGTTTAGGATATGCCAAGTTTGTGAAATAGTCACCCCAAACATTACTCTGAGAGGAAAGAGACCCTCACTTGAAAGAAGACTCAGTAAGCTTTCAGGAGGAGATGATACTGCCACACTGCTGTGCGAAGTGGCCAGGCCCTGGGGGGGGGGGGGAGGGGGCTCAGTTGGCCTCTAGATTATCTGATGATTCAATCTGCAGACTCCAAACTCTGCAAACAAGTCCCAGACCAGCTGGTCTATCATTAGGATAAAAAAGCGACTGAGCTTTCTAGACTCAGGTTTAGTCTCGGAGGCATCAGGAACAGAGAGTCAGGACACAATAAGCTATAATTTCAGCCCAAAACAAAATGGGAAAATAATAAGGGAGCTCCAGTGGCCTAGCAGGAGCTCTGCAATCTCAGAGGTATGCAGTTCAAGTCTACCAGTAGCTCCACAGGAGACGGAGGAGCCATTACCTCCTGTGTCATTAACAGCCTCTGAAAATCCACTGGAAGGTTAGCTATGGGTCAGTGGTTCTGATTTGGTGGCACACAACAACCTCAATAGTAGCCCAGTGGCAAGAAGCTGTGCTGCAATCCCAAAGGCACTCAGTTTGAATCCACCAGCTACCCCGCAGAAGAAGAATGGGCAATCTCTTCTGATAAGACTTACTGCCTCTGAAAACCCACTGTAGGGTCACCTAAGAGTCAGTGCTTACTCTAGAGCACACAATAACAATAACTCAAAATGAAAAAGCAATGGCCCTTATTCAGAAATCACTGAGAATAGCAGATAGCAGAACAATGAAGCAAGCACAGGGCCCTTCTGAATATGGGCTTGGAGTGACTGCACAAGTTCTGTACCCACAGGACCAGCACCGGCTCAGGCAAAGGTAGACCACCAGGGTCAAAAGGTTTCAGCAGAAGTATCTCAAAGGGTAATGCTTAGACAGAACTCAAGTGCATGGCTAAACGTAGAGGTCTGTACCAGGTCAAATGAAGCAAGAACCAGTCTTAGCTTCCTATAAGAAGCTGAAGAGAAAGTCAGGGCAAAGTGAGGTGAGAAAAAGCCTCCCAGGACAGAAGCCAGAATGGAGTAAGCAAAGGCTGGCAAGGTCAATGCCAGTCAACCGAGTGCCAAGACAGAGGCCATGGAAGCTGGAGAGTGAGAGGAGATGGCCCTAAGACCAGACACTGTAGGACTGGCATGGCCCAGGCCCCACTCAATGAGGTAGAAGCCCCACCCTATGAGGATGGAGTATTCTGCCAGAATAGACAATATTTCAGGCCTTATTCTCTCTCAAGTGGGGCAGTCTGAGTAATGGGTTTCATAACAGGGCAGGGGGTACGGAGTCCATGTGCTCCTGGGGAGAACTGAGGCCCTGAGGAAGCCAAGAAGCAGACATTCATCATGACAAAAGCACAAATTGATTCTTTCATCTCTTCCAACTCTGCTTTTGTATTCCCTTTTCTTTCCTTTTAATGCCTCAGTCAAGTTCCTTTTGAAAATTCTGAGGCAGCTTCTCTGTGCTGAGTAAAAAGGGGGCAGGGAGAGGACAGCAGTTCCCTGAGCAAGGGGGGATGGTAGCTGCCAGTCCACTTGGAAATCTGACTAGAGTCGTCACTGAGCTTTTACCATAGAGTGATGGGGTGGCTGCCCCTGGTTTATTTCCGCATGGGAGGATGCCTTAGTTCACCTCAACTATACAGAATCATGGAAATCTCCATTATTCCTGACAAATGCACAGCTCTACCAGATTGTATGGGCCTAAGACTGAGGAGTTCCTGGCCCTTCTCAAGGACCCCCCTTTATAAAGATCCTAGAACTCAGCAAGGAAGCCCAGGTTCTTTTAATAGCCTGTCCTGGGCCCTTGAGTCACTCCAATCCTCTCTGTAAAGAACTGTAAGAATTTTAATACTGGTGGTAAACCCCCCAAGACTATGGATCTTCCTCTTCAAGCTGGGGTCTGCATTCACCCCTATGAGCCACCTTTCAGCCAAACATAGACTGTAAGGTGATCAATGACTTTGTGGATCTGAGAGAAACACATTCCTTAGAACAATCAAACAAAGATCAAAAGAACAGCAAATACTGAGGGATAAAATTCAGAAAGCTGGAAGGGATAGGAAGGAAGGAGTAACGGAAACAGAAAACACAGGGAGGAAATGGGAAGAGAGCGGTTCCAACATAATGGGGATTGTAATCAATGTCACAAAACAATATAGGTCAATTGTTGAATGGAAAACCAACCTGATGCAAAAAATCTCAATAGTAGGTGCAGATGATAAAGTTAAAGTTCCAAAGGGGCCAGGCAATGTCTTGGTTGCAAAGCCCATCAGTGTGGGAACCCGGCCTCATGTCCCCTGGTGCCCTGTGACACCAAGAGGAGGTCAGAGGCAGGGTCGGGGGCATGGGGAGTGAGGGCCTCTGTCTCTGACTTCAGAGACTGACGCAGGAAGGCTGCAGTGGAGGGGGTGCTCACTGGATGGAAAGGGGAAGACAGCTTCTCCCCTCAACGGTGCCAGACAATCGCTACCAGACAATCGAATCCGTGGCCAGACAGCCATTTGCTAAATCTGGATCAGAAGACTAGCCTGTTAACCCTTCCATGTCTAAGCACTTGGGAGCCAGGGGGTTCTCCTGTCCCCATTTCTTCTGAATATGCTATAAGCTTTGTTTCCTTGAACTAAGAACCAAAAGCCGATTCAAACCCACTGCTATGCAGCTGACTGTAACTCGTGATGACCCTCTGTGGGATTTCCAAGCCTTAACAAGAGGAGACTGCGTTTCGTTTCTTTCTCCTTCTGATGGCTGGTGAATTCAAACTGCTGATCTTTATGCTGGCAGCCCAACACGTAACACCATCAGGCCTTCTCTGAATTAGAAAAAGAGGGGACCATTCCTTGGCGATATGTACTTTCAGAGATTAGGGGATTGAGTAGTGTTGATAGCAACCAGCTGGAGCCACCGCAACACACTTGAAAGCTCTACTTGAAAGCTCTACCCAAAGGGTCAATTTGCACCTGTCAGAGGCCAGAATGAAAGCAGGCAGCAGGCAAAATGAAATCAGGCAGCCGGCCACAGGAGAGTAAGGCTGCAGGCCAAATGGAAGCCAGACTGGATCAATAGGAAGCAAGATCATAGTGAAACGTAGGCATCAAGCCAGGAAAAAGAATCAGGAATTATGCCAGGTGGTCAAAGGTTTGTGGGTTACAGAGAAATCAGGCCACAGAGGAGAATGAAATTAGGGTTCAGGACAGACAACATCACCTGTGACTCAGAAGGAAAGGAGGTGCGCCTCCCAGTAAAACCACGATGCGCCCGGGCCGCACCCCCCTCCCTGCGCGGCGGGGCCCAGCCTCACTTGAGCTGCTGGGTGATGAGCTCCTCGTCGTTGAGGTAGCGCAGCCGCTCCTCCTCCACCAGGGTGCGCTGCCGCTGCAGAGGGTCCTCCTGCCGCCGCGCCGCCTCCGACACGCGCATGCTCAGCTCCGCCTCCGTGCGCTTCAGCAGCGCGCGCACCGACTCCTGGTTCTGTAGCTGTGGGGTGCACAGAAAGGGGACGCATGGGCCCGAGTGGGAGGCAGTGCAGGCACAGCGAAGAGGAAGGGACGGGATAAGGAGGGCAAAAGGCAGCCAGTGCGGGGTAGAGGTTCTGCAGAAGATACCGCTGTAGACAGTGAGAAGCAGCCAAGGGATGGTGGGGGGACAGAAGACAAGGGCTAAATTCTGAGGAAATACAGAGATGGGGTGAGATCGAGATGCGAATGCCAATACTGGGAAGCCCAAGGTTCGACTGCATGGGTGGCAGTCTTCGGCTTAGAACGGCCCTGAATGGTGGGGAAGTGTCTGGGACGACAGGCGCGTGCTGGGAGTTTGGTGGCGTTTCTGTGGCTGGGACGGGAAGACTGAGCGCGCTCGAACCTCGCTCTAAACGAGGCGTAGCGGGAAGAAGACTTTTACGGGCTGCCCAGATGGTAACTCTCTGGCCCTCCTCAGCCTGTCTCTGCGCATTATCCTCACCTGACGGGCCCAGGGCCTCTCTCTCGGGGAGCGGGCATGGTGGTGCCAAGCTCCTCACAGGTGGGACCATCTGCCAGGCGGGCAGGGCGGGGAGACCGCTCTCGGGCTCAGGAAGGGGAGGTGAGAGGACCTGGGGCCAGGACTCCCGTGCGGGTCAGTGGGGAACCAGGGAGGGACTGTCCTGAGAGGTGCAGACCAGGAAGGGATCTCACGGAGGGCGATGGGGACACAGGGAAGGGGTGCGAGTACTGTGTAAAGGGGGACAAGGAGGTTCAGTGACGGAGTAGGACTCCGGGGGCGAAGAAAGATTTCACAGTGGAGGGGGGGGGTGTCTAGAGGGCACCGAGGTGAGAATTCTTCGAGAGGAAGACCACAGGGAAGCAGGAGAGGCGGGGCCTGAGGACGGGGGCTAGGCTTTCGGAGGGGCTCCGACGGGGCGGGGCTTTCGGACGGGCGGTACCTGGAGCTTGCGCAGTTGCTGAAGCTGGCCGCGCAGGTCACTGGCGCTGCTCTGCAGGCCGCGCAGGTGCAACTGCATCTGCAGGCGGTTGACGGCGGTGGGTTGTCCCGCAGGGGTGCTGCTGGCCGAGGATGGGGGAGGACCGGACACTGGGGTGGCCCCGCTGCTCCGGCCGCCTGACCCACAGGCTGCAAAGGACGAGGAAAATGGGGGTCTTGGGCAAGGACTTCCCCCCTTCGGCTGCCTTTACAGAGTAGCTAGAAAAGGACATGGCTCTGAAAGTGCCAGGGGAAAGATATCTTGGGCCTCGGAGTCTCAAATGGGAAGGCCTTATGTGAGTAAGAAGTTGAGCTGCCAACCCAAAAGGCAGGTAGTTCAAACTCCATAGCTGCTCCTCTGGAGAAAGATGGGCAGCCTTCTTTCTTGGAATTTATAACCTCTGAAAATCCACTGGAGGGTCGGCTATGAGGCAGTTCCGGCAATGAATTTTTAAAGTTTTATTAACCCCCATTTAACAGACTAGGAAACTGATGGTCAGAGAAGGAAAGGAAGAACCTAAAAGGGAGTGGGGGTAAATAGTGGTGGGAAGGGTCACTCACGTGCTGAGGGAGTGGCAGCTCCATTGGAGCCTTCGATCTTCTCACTGTGATACAAGGAAAAGAAGGTGGCCACTAGGGGGTCATAGGTGGCCCCAGACCAGGGCCTGGTCATCGCATCTCATCCCCGCCCCAGATTTCAGGATGGTGGCCCAGTCTGAAGAAAGGGCTCACCACCCAAGGTCACACAGTGACAATGGCAGACACGGGCTCAGCGTCCCCAGGGCTCATCCCCCCTCCTCCAGCTCCAGGCCCTGCCAGTGGTGGTATTTGGCAGAGGGCCTCACCTGGGGGTCTCAGGCTCCGAGCCACGGAGCAGGGCACTCTGCACCAGGCCTGTGAGGCTGGCAATCTGCTTCTCCATGGCCTCCATACGCTCCCTGTGGAAGAATGTGGCTCTTATTTCCTCTTTTGTACATTCCCAGTACCCTCATTCCCAAAATTGATAAGCAAAGAAAACAACATCCCCTCCCCAACACCAGCACCCAGACAGTTCAACGGTCAGTCTATAATCATCACCTAGCATCATCAAGGACTTCATGTGACCGTCACTCCTCTCCAATTTCTCAGCTCACCTCTGGCTTCTTACTGAGCCCCACTCTAACCTTGCCATGCCTTTGCACATGCTGTTCCTCCCTGCCTTCTCTGTGAAGCCATCACTGGCTCTGTAGCAGCCTCAAGGACGCCCCCCCATCCCAACAACCAGTTACACCCTCTCAAGGGAAGGGCAAGTATTTATTCACTTTCACTGGATCAAAAGCAAGAACTGGATTTGCCCAACTTGGCACAGAGAGTACAAACATGAGTCACTCCTCAGCAGTGCTGCCTCAGGCAGAGGACAGGCCTGTACAGTTCTCTCCTCCAGCCCTGCATGGGCGGTGAGAGCTCTCCAGGTGGGAGAGAGATGTACCTTCCTTCCTATCGCCATTTCTTACCAGCACTCCCCTCCACAGTGCACTTCAGCCAACCCTGTGCTGGACAGCTCTCAGAGCTGCAAATTCTAGCCCGGCTCCCAAGGCACTCAGAGTACCTCCTGTTTGAGCCTCTCAATTTTACTGTTAAGGAAACTGATTCATAGGGAACAGAGCCAAATTTAGGTCTTCAGAATTCTCTTTTGGGGTCCTACGGCCCAAACATCAGGACTTGAAGAGGAAAGAAAAAAAAAAGCACATCCGTCTCTCCAATCCTAGATGCTTCAACGACCCTTCAAAGCTACTCCTACAAAGGCTCCCAGGTTCCCTTGGTCTCGGTTCTGCCACCGATTCTGCCTAGCTCAGGTCCCTCACCTGGTCTCTGTGTCCTTGGCTGGCACAGGAGGCCCGAATCCAACCAGTGGGCGCTCCCCGGGCCCAGGGAACAGTTCGGGAGGGGGCGCCCCAGCGGTCGAGGAGCTCCCGGTGCTGCGGGCCTTGCCCCCGGGGCTCTCGGCGAAGACGGACGAGGAGCCTGAGTCTTTTCGGAAGGACTGGCGCACCGGCGAGCCGCGGCTGGGTGGCCCGGAGTAGGGACTGTGGGGCGGCGGGGGGCCTCCAGGGGGCGCCGCCACGTCGGCCAGCTTCTGCGGCGAGGACGGCGGCATGCGGAAACCGTAGCTGTCGCCGTAGAGCGGGCCGCCCCCGCCCGCCGCCTTGTAGAGCGAGTCCTCCAGGTCCGACTGCAGCGCCGCGGCCGAGTAGGTGCTGAGCGAGCGCACCGAGCCGCGTTTGTAGAGGCCGCCGGCGCCCGGGTAGGCGAACGGGTCTCCCGCGGCCGCGGCCAGGCTCAGGCGGCCCTCGTGGAGCAGGCCGTAGGGGTCCGCGTAGAGACCCTCGCCCTTCACCAGCACCATGCCGCCCGCCTTGCTCGCCAGGTCCTCGTCCGGCTTCACATCGCGCCGCTCCAGGATGGCGCTGGGGCTGGGGCTGACGCCCTGGGTGGCCGGGGTTCCCCCCAGCCGCTCGGCCGCGTGGTGCACCGGGCTGCCAGCGTAGGAGGGCGGGCGCCCCCCAGCGTATGAGAGGCGCGAGCGCGATGGCGAGCCCGAAGGAAGCCCCGAAGGCAGCCCGGATGGCAACCCCGACGGTAACCCAGACGGTAACCCCGGCGGCGGCGAGCCCGATGAGAGGTGAGGCGCTGGCGACAGGTTGTTGAGGCGCCGCGTGGGCGAAGACTCCCGCGACGCATACACCATCTCTCTCTGCATAGGAGACAGCCCGCGACGCCAGAGGGCTAGTCACAAAAGGGTCGGTCCCCTGCTCCTGGCTAGAAGAACCATTGTCTACCCCTTGACTTAAGTCCCTTCTGTTCTCTGCCTCTCCTCTTTCTTGCTGTACATACACTGAGTCCCTCTCCCACCAATGTTCCCAGTAAGAAGTGGCTGATGGCAAGGCACTAGAGACGAAGGGGACAAACCTCTGAATGGTGAGGGACTAGGCAGCAGAGAAAGAATGGGGTTCCTTAAGAAGCCCCTTAGAATGTCTAGAAAGAAATGTAGGAGAGATTTCCTGAGCAGAAGACAGAAATGAAGGGAAGGTGGTATGTGAAGGGAGGAGTTTTTCCATGACCTACAAATAAAGGAAACAATTGGCCTCGGCCCCTGGATTCCCTTTTTTTGAAGCTGGCCTGGGCTCTGGTGACAACTGACCGTACTTGGCCCTCCTAGCCCCCACCCGCTCAGCCTCCTGGGGCCACATCGGCACTCATTATCATGAGCTTGATCCTTCAGAAGCTTTCCCATCTCCCACCCCGTGAATATCCTGGGCACCTCCAGCCGTACCCGGAGGTCCCCATTGGTGAGGTGTGAGCCAGGAAAAGCAGCGTAGAGTGGCTCTTTCCTGTAGATCTTGATAATACTGCGGTCCTGGATGTCCCTGGGGGAGAGAAAAGAGGGTCACCATCCCCTGACACTGCAGGATGGGAAGGGGAGGAAGAAGGGTGGTGAGAGGTCCCAGGAGACCAGTCCTTTTGCATTGGCTGCACTTGATGGGTTTGGTGCCCCTGGCTACCTGCCACCACAATGCACACCCTGCAGCCTCCACCTGGTCCACTTCTCGGCCTCAGGTGGCTGTTCTTTACAAGTCACTGTGAAGCAGCAGGGGCAGCTGATTTAAGCAGGGAGGGGCGGGGGGGAGGACCGTGGCAGGGGGCGGGTCTAGGGCCTGGGAAAGAAAGGGCAGTGATTGGACCCGAAGGGTGCTGGAAAATGTCCCAGGGAGTCCAGCTCCCCACAAAGGGTACAGGGAAACCCACCCCATCCCCCCCCCCGGGACCACGCCCACCGGACGTCCTCCAGCTCATAGAAGACGTTGCGAGCCTCGTCTTTGATGAGGATGGCGGTGTTGGGCGACTTCAGCATGCCCATGGTGAGCTTCTGCGGGAACATGTGTGCGATGAGGGCGTGCAGCGTGTCCAGGCTGCTGACCTCGTGGGTGATGTGCACACGCCGAGTCTCCTCCCCAAACTGTAGAAACAGCACCCCTGCGGAGGAGACACCACCCTCGCTGTCACCCCGGCTCCTACCACGCTGCCCCGGAGAGGCTTCAGGAGCTGTGCTGGTCCCGCAGCAGCAGGGCCTGAGGCTGGACGTGGACCCTGAGTGCAAGTGCACCCAGGCACTCCTCATGCTGCAGCGCCAGCCTGGCCTCCAGCCTCTCGAGGCTACCACGCAACCCCGGTCTGTGGGGGGTAGGGGACCAGAGTGGGAGTGGGACAGTTAAAACCTGGACAAGGAAATACAATGGGGGCAGGAGCAGTGGGACAGAAACTGAGAGGGAGTCAGCAAGGGTGGAGAGTTGCTAAAGAGTTTAGTTGGGTTGAAGGTGAAGAAGGAGGGGGAGGGAGATGACGGGAGGGAAATGAGATTAGAGCGGCTAAAGGAAAGGGGGCTGCCAGAGAGAAAGAAGCTGAGAGGGAAGGAGGAGGCTAGGTGAGAGAAAAGGGTAAGGTAAGGAATGTTGAGGGAGAAAGAGAATAAGGATGATAGAGGAGAGAGAAAAGAGGGGCGGGGAAGAGAGAAACTGACGGGGGTTGGGGGGGGCTGCTGAGAGGGGCGGGAGAGAGATGAGGTCATGGGGAAAGGAGTGCTTGGCTACAAGGAGGGTGACTGAGGACAATGCTGAAGGGGATGATGGAGGCTCCAGGGGAGGAGAGCAGAGGGAGGAGCCCAAGCAGGGAGAGGGAGGATAGAGGGGCGGGCAGTACCTGGCGAGCGGAGCTTGGTCTGGCTGGCAGAGCGGGAGAGGGGCAGGCTCTGTCGGAAGCGGTTCATCCTGCTGAAGCCCAGGGGCAGCTCGGCCTCGGACATGGTCTCTAATGACTCAGCCGAGGCATATGACAGCTTGGCCGCCTGGTCTGCCAGCCCCGGCTGGGCTCCCTGTGTATGGCGAGAGCTGCGGGTCTGCAAAGGCAGAGCAGGGTAGGAGGAACCGAGTATGAGCCCCCTTCCCTGGGCCACTGCCCCCATCTGGGCCCAAGGAACTTCCATCAGCCAGACACACACATTCTCAGGAAGGTCCTGGATTCACCACCAGAATTCCCAACCTGTCAAGTCCCTGGCCTCCCTGGGATACCCGGCAGGTAAGGAGTGGGCAGAGGACTTGGGCACCCTGGGAAGCCATGAGAACCCACCCAGCGGGGAGCCATGGGCACGCCTGCTATTTTAAGCTTCCAAAGAACAACAACAACACGAATTTGTCACTGAGGTGAGCAGCAGAATCATTGAGCAAATTGGGGCATTAGTTCCAGACATTAATTAAGCGGCGAATTTATCCTTGGTGGAGTTCAGAGGGGTAGGGAGAGGGGGAGGGGAGGGGTGGGAAGCAGGGCCCTTGAGAAAACAAGGAGGGCTGGGGCCCAGAATCCCTGCCCTGTGGGGGCAGACCCTCACAGGGGTGGGCACAGAACATTCCCTTTATTTAAAGTGACTGAGGGAGCCATCCTAATCATCTCTGCCCCAGAGCCAACTAGACCCCATGCCCAAATAGACTACATGCTTGGCACACTAAGTGCACATGTGAAATCCAGTGTGTTACACATGAGTACAAAGACACATGTGTCTGGCTGCAGCCCTCCCTGCAGGGCACACGCTGCCACATAAGCCAGCTGGCCTGGCCAGCCTCCCCAAGTACCCAGCAGAGCAGCCTATTGCTTTGCACAGAGGCAAGAGCCAAGGGTGAGATCTGGTTGGAGGAAAGAAGGGTGCCATTCAGTGATGGGCCCCTGTTCCAGGGAGCCTGACTGGTCCTCTTCCATGGTGAGGTCCCCATCATGTCAACTGTGTTTTAAAAGCCTGCTCTAGGCTGAGGACTGGGTCAGTCAGACCACCACCTCTGACACTCTGCACCAGCCCCTTCCCTCAGGCCTGGTTGCTGTATAGAAACTCATTTATTTAAGGGAGAAAGATAATGAATCAGCTCCACATGGACAGATGCCCAGGATATATAAATATACATACAGCAGGAAAAAAGAAAAGATTTTCCAATTGTATTTTTCTGTAAAACGTGTCCCTTTTCAACAACAAAATCTTACTGAAAATCATTAATAGTGATTGTATCAGGCTTGAGAAGGGACATTCCGGTTTTTTTACTGTGTATTTTTCTGCTGTGTGAATTTTACACAAAGCATATTATTTTGATAAGAATAAAAACCAGGAAAAGGCTTTCTAAGAAAAAATAGTTTCTTCTTCTAAGTTCCTTCCTTCTCCCAAATCCTGATTAACTCTAATTAATCTCCATCTCCATATTAACTCTGTTTAATGCGCCAGTCAGATTAGTACTCTCAAAAGGAGAGAGCATCTTTCAATGGGCAGTGTGCCCAGCTGTCCCTAAGGTGGCCCCGAGAGCTTGGGGGCATGGAAGGTCAGATTCAGGGAATTTAGGAGGCTTCCAGCCTCAAGCACAATGCCATGGACCTAAATCTGGAGCCAGGGAGGGAGGGGGCAGCATAGAAACTAGGGACACTTGGGGGAAGGGTGTCTGTGCCCTGGCTTTGGACCCTACAGCTCAGCTCTAGTCTGACAGCAGTACCAGTCATGTCTCTCTCTTTCACCTTCAGCCCCAGCTGAAGGACAGTGAGCTCAGCAGCAGTGTGGTCTGATGGTCATGGGGTTGCCAGGCAACCGAAAGGTCAGTGGTTGCCAGGCTGGCATGGAAGAGGGGCTACAGAATTCAGACAGAATGAGGCAACTAGCCGGAATGAAGACCAGGAGGTGACCACACAAGTCAGATGTCAAAAAGACGGAACGGTAACCCAGATCGGAGGTTGGAGATTCTGGGGACTGCTGGGAAGGCAGGACGCTGACCAGGGGACCCTGGGAAAGAGATGTCCACATTCCCTGCCCCACCAGTTTCGGTATCTATCTTGACTCCATCTCTACCTCACAGCCTTCATGAAAACCTCTGGAGAAGGGGTTGGGGGTGGGGGACTTTTACTTTTTTTTTTTTTTTTTTGGACTTTTACTTTTTTTCTCTATTCCTGGGGATGAGATAATAGGGCAAAGGGTAGTGGTGAGACATCTATAAGGACTTCCCAAGCACTGAGGAGTTGGTAAACAGAATTGTAATTTAAACACAGCTCGACAAGGACAGAAAAGGGCTACTATGGGAGGTGGGGAGACCACTTGTTACTGGAGGTGTTCAAGGAGGAGCTGATGACTTTTGGTCAGAGTTCAGACTAAGGGAGCCTTGAGTGGGGTGATCAGACAGGCAGAATCACTGGGAGCTTTTGAAAAGATTCTTTTCACCAAATCAAAATCTCTAGAGGGTCAAGGCTTAGGGCTCGAGAGTTTTTACAAGTTCTCAAGGTGATTCTGATCCACAGCTTTGGACTTCAAGTCAGCATTCATGATGCTAACACCATGAGCTGAACTCACTGTATGTAGGACATGCAACCTCTCTCATTCCTTGTGGCCTGGCAATCTACCTCCAAAACCATCAGCCACTGAGACCCCCATGAGCACATCTGTCCTCCTCCGACAGATTAGTTGATGTGACAGAAACTGGTGATTTTGTTGGGTCCCCCCCCCCCCCCGTTTGTTTGCTTGTTTGTTTTTGCAACAACCTTCTAACACAGGTGGGGTCCCCCAGGTGGTACGAATGATACACATTCAGCTGTTAACGGAAAGGCTTCAGGTTTGAGTGTGTCTCGGTAGAAAGGCTCAGCTCAGCCTCTACTTCCTGACAACCAGTCACAGAAAACCCCACTGAGTACAGGTCCCCCGACACACACAAGGGTGCCATGAATCAGCGCTAGATAAGCAGGGGTGGTGGTGTGATGCAGGACTGGCCTGGAATGCACCACCAGCCAGTCTGGTTCTCTCAGGAATTCAACCACTGCACTCTCTCCTGACCACCCCAAAGACGTCATGCCTGCCACCATGACCCTCAGATTCCATGAATCTCTGATCCCAAGACTTCCTACGAATGCTCTGGGAGAATGCATATGTTAGGAACAAGACAGAGCAACAAGATGATTCTTGGGGGTTCTGGGATAGATGCTCCACCGGTCATGATGTCTGAGGTAAAGGGGCCAGGGGACACAAGCAGCCATCTAGGTTGGCTGACTCAGCTCCTGGCCTAGATGTCTGAACGGATGCAGGAAGTACTTGAGGGTGCTCCCCCAAGGGTCAGCAGGATGCCCTGGGGTGGGGGTGGGGTGCAAACAGCGCTCCAGCTCTGGAGGGTTCAAACTGTCCAGAAAAGGCAGGAAAGTCCCTACCTCTGAGCTCATCTCTCCACTTAGGCAGCAGGAGCTGCTAGTTTTGGGGTGCAGGACCCTGAACCTCTTGCTTAGCATTACCCAGAATCTTCTGACCAGCTCTCCCACAACGGAGAGTAAGAAAGGCATAAAGGACTCAACAGAGCCACACAGGACATCCCTGGAGTGTGAGGTCAGAGTTCATAGAGTGGAGCCCTCAACAAGGTCCTGAGGCCCAGCCCTCTCCCTAAACTGAGAGGAGACATCAGGGAGCCCTTCTTATTCCACATTGCCCCTCGAGGGCTGGGGAAACCTGGCGTCTGAGCAGCATCCCCAGCAGGCAGCCCAAACTCCCACTGTGGATCCACAGGACCCCAACAGGCAAACCCAGACTCTCCCAAAGCAACAGCCATAGCCTGCAGCCCCTAGGCCCCTGCCCACCCCCGAAAGTGCTGGTGCAGACGCACGCCCCTGCGCCAAGCATGTGCAAGGGGAAGGCAGGGTCAAGGGAGGCGGAGCACATGCAGTTGTCACAGAAGCAGAAGCATCACACTGACCTTGAAACTCCAGTAGTTTGGCTGCTGATGGAAATAAGAGAAGAGAGAGTTACGCAGGGGCTGGGAGGGGCAGGGGCAGGCTAGAGACCCTCACTCAACCCTGGGATATGAACCCTCCACCCTCCCAGATGCAGAAAAGAAATAATTTCTGGTATAGCTCCTCCCGAGACACAGAGCACCATAGTACACCTATGTCGGCCCTGAGCAGACTCCAGCCTGCTGATGGGCCAGGTGAGAGCCAGTCCAGGTGTTTACAAGTCACACATTCGAGCTTCAGTAACTGTCCTTCAAGAATGTACAGGCAGGAAGAGGCACAGATGATCAAGCTTTAGGGAGCCTGTGAGATACTGTTAAAAGCACAGAGATGAATGTGAGTTGTGGGCCCAGAGAAATGGTATCTGGTTTTGGCAGGCCAGGAATACTTCCTGAAAGAGATGGCATTTGAACTGAGTCTTGAAAGACAAAGAACTTGGACGTAAGAAAAACTATGTTGAGCAGTGGGAACAGCATGCGCAGGGTTAGGCAGGTATAAAGTGCCGAAAACCAGCCAATAGTCCATTTTGGCGAGGGTCTGGGCTAAGAAAGTAGTAGATTATGTTGTAAAGGAGCTGGAAGCCCGAGGGTAACCAGCCTTTAATAGGAAGTGAGAGCATTTGGACTTTATAAGGACTGGAAGAAAGCATTTGGATGGGCTATGGTGGGTTCTAAACTGGACTCCAGAGATACTTGTGTAAGGAGATGGACCTGAACACAGAGAAAGGTGGATGGATGTGGGCAACCTTAAATCACTTGGTACTGGGCAGCAAAGGAAGTAAAGAAAGCTCCCAATCCAGACAGGATGGATGATAGAGGCGGTTTCTCTCTGTCTTTCCTAGCACTCCTAACCCTGGCGGGAGGTGCGGTGGGGTGGGGGGTGTTGGCTCAGATTCTTTTTCATTCACAGTAATATGGGGTCTCTGTACTTTCCCTGGAGACCAGCAGGCCCTTCCAGATGGCCAAGGCCAAGGCGGAGCAGCCATGAGGCTGGGTTGGTTCTTGGCAAAGTTGAGGGCACCCTGCTGACCGGTGCCAGCCTCAGCAGGAAAACAGAGGGAGCAGATGGCCCGGCCCTGGGGTGCCTGGCACAAACAGGCAAGGTTCCCCAGGCCTCAGAACCACTAACAGAGGAGAGGGACACTGAAAGTCCCCAGCGGAGGAAGAACACCATGCTGGGACATTCTGAAGGATTTAATGGCATGGATGAGGTGACTAGGGTTTGAGTTGAGGAGCACTGCTATCCTTGGAAGCTTGGCCTGAGGCAGACACTTGGGCTTGGGAAGACGTCAAGCCCAGGCCGGGATGAAGAGGTCCAACTGACAACGTTGTCCCTATGTGAGCCACAGTCTGCATCCTTTTTCCCCAGTGTCGGCTCCAAGAGGTGAAAACAGCAGTCATAGCCACGTAGGGGAAGGGGGTAGCAAAGTCTGCACCCCACCATTGCCTGGGACAAAGTAGGAAATCATGCGACTCTTGTGGGTCCCAAGAGGAGGAGGAACAGCAAGGGACTAGAGTAAGAGCCTCTATCTACAGCTGTCTGTGGCCTTGGGTAGCTAAGGGAGAGGACACGGGGTGGGCAGAGCCAGGCGGAGGGCATGGGAAGGTTTACAATGAGAGTCGTGTCTGCAGACTCGGTGGTGATGGACAGTTCTGCAGAGCAGGCCACGTGCCCTTCACCCACCACCACCGTTAAACCAGACTCACACCGGACACAGGCGGCGTATCCAGGGGCCTCTCAGTTCCCGACAACAAGAAGGCTCAGCCACAGAGCTGGGCACAGGTTCCCAGGAGCATCCTTAGATAAGTACATCTTCACATCCAGACAGAGCAACAAAAACAGACTCAGAAAGGGACCCAAACATGAAAAGAAGAGCCCTCCTCTGTCAGGAGTCACCAGATACTCAGAGACAGACATGTGTACACAAACACGCAACCACCCCCCAGAACCCTGACTTGTTCTCACACACTCCCACAAGCACCACACCCAGTCACAGAAACATACATGGAAACAGGCGCTGAAACCATTCACACCCACCCTAGGCCCTATAGACACCCCTACATAGAGCCACAGACACACACAGTCATGTGGCGTTCATATGTACACACAGACAAACACACCAGTTACAAAAACATGAAACAGCACCTCTACAGCTCATACATAAAGCATCAGAGCCCCCTCATTCAGAGTAAGCCCATTTCTTCTCCTACTGGCCAGGTCTGGGTACTTCCCATTACCTTGGCCATGGACCCACGCTTATAGTGTTCCAGATATCCTATGCCAAGGAGGCAAATTCTGACTCAAAAGGGGCAACTTTTTGAGGCTGAGACTCCCCAGTGTCAACTTATAAAGGGGGTGGGGTGATGCTCAAGCCTGACCTGGGTCAGTCACTTCGACTTCCCTCACTCATTTGTACTGAGATGGCTGGAGCCCACCTTGTACCTTGGAAAAGAGTGAAACGGGGTGATTACTGCCACACTGTCTTATGCCTTCAACATGAGCCTGCCCCAAAGTCCCAAGGCGGGGCCTGTTTCTGGCCCACAAAGCAGAGGTCACTAGTTGGGACCAGGGGAGAAGACTAGATGATAGCAGTGTGCCAGGAATGACCAGCCACGCTCCAGATAAAGATGGAAGAGCAACTGTGTTTGTATTTGGCAAACAATGTTAATCATTAACTTTTTTGTCCTAAATGTCCACTTAGTTGCCACATAACATGACAGAGATCTCTTCACAGGCTCCAGCTTCATTCCCATGTCAGTTAGGTCCATTCTTGTAAGCAGCTCAGAAGTTAAAACAAACATTTTAAGGGCACTGGGCTTGGATATACAAGTCATCCCTCCATCCCTCAGATTTCTCCCAGGCAGCCATATCCCACACATTGAATTTCACCTTCTTTACTGAGGCATTTAAATGAATCTTGCCCCTCAATCCTCCCTATGGAAAGTACGACAAATGATCTACTTTTATGCTAACTCCACTGGGAGTCATGTTCATAAGGGAAAGAGACTGACCCCTGGATACTGTCTACCTCCTGACTGCTTCTTTCCAGGGCATTAAACCCATGGGTCAGCCTTGGGGAAGAGAGCAGAGGGCTTCTGTACAGTTCTCGCAAGGTGGGACACTCCCCAGTAATTCCCTACCCAGCACTCTGTGGTAGTTATCCTTCTGCTGTGCCCAGCACTGTGCCTGATACATTGTCAAACTTCAAGAAATACATGGTAATGAATGAATGCCAATCAAATAGGGCCAGCCCATAGGAGGATGGCCTTATCTCTGAACAGACTTAGTTAGCTTGAATCATTTTAATATCCTGGCACCCAGCTCTGCTCAGCTTTCAGGCCTTTTCCCTGGAATTTCCCAGTGCTAGAAACGCCCCTGGAAGGAGAGCAGAGAGTAGACAAGGCCCAAGAGAGGCCTGGTTCCCCCACTATAGCCAAACCCTCTAGGACCAAGGCAAAGCTGGTGGGGTCTCCCTTCCCTGAAGATAACCAAAGGCCATACAGGGTCCAGAAGGAGACTCTTGCAGGGGTGATCTCCACCCCCCCACCCCCCACCCCCACTCCCACCCCACAGGCCTCTACTGAGGAAAATCCTAAAGGAGCAGGAGCCAGTGGTGTAAGAGGATCAGATGAAAGCTAGCCATTCAAGCCCTAGGGACAAGGCTTTCAGACAAGGGCGGGGGAGACTCAACCTCCCTGTGAGAGAAAAAACAGTTTTCTCTCGGGGGCTGCGGAGTTAACTCCCCATCTCATTCCCCAACCTGCGGCCTCAGTGGGGCCTGAGTGGGATTCGTCCCTTCCTCTGCAGCTGATCCTTCCTCCAACCTCTGTGTCCCGGGAGGGGCGGGCCTTGCCCCTCGGGAGCCCTAGCTCTGCAGCAGAGATCTCCCCCTCCCTGGGCAGACAGGCCCCTAAACTAGGTGAGTGCGTGACCCTTCCTTGACCTCAAGGCAATTATACTGACGACATGTCGCCTCGAGAGGAATGGAGACGGCCCCTTACCCCCACTACTCAATCCCCCCATCCAGCTCCGCGTGCACCGGCGGCGCACACACCCACCTCTAACTCCTGCAAACACGCGTCCACACAAACACCCCCACCCCAGGCAGCCCCCCGCCGAGGCCAGGCAAAGCGCCCCCGCGAGCTCATCCTCCCACGCCTCGCACTGCACGAAGCCCCCACCCCAGGTGTGCGGTCGACACCCTCTTCCTCCCCCCGCCGCCCCTCCTAAAGCAGAGTCGGGGAGCGGGTGCTGCGCTGCGGCTGGGGGCGGGGGCGCACCCGAGAAGGTCATGACTTTCCGAGGTTGGGGGAGGGGGCTTCAGCCGCCTTTTGGGTGTAGACAGGGCCCACGCAGAAGGTGGCGAGCCCGATGGGGAGAGGAAGGGGGCGTTTCTCCAGGATCAGGAACCGCAGTGGCCCGCGCGTCCCCCACCTCCGGACGGTCTCCAGATGCGCGGAGCGCCCTCCATCTCCAAGCCCCCCTCCCCCGCCGAACCCAAGGCGGCAACCCGGGCCCCAGCGGCGGCTCCCCCTTACCTGCGGCCACAGGTGTAGGCGCGGGGTCCCCAGCCCCGGGTACCGTGTCGGGCGGGGGAGGGGGAGCGGCTGCCGACTCCCTCCCGCCGGGGCTCTCCCCTCCCCCGGCCGCCTCCGCAGCCGCCGCCACTGCCGCCTGTGCCCTTAGCTGCAGTGCGAGCGCCGCCGCGGAGCCGGCCCGGGCCCGGTCGCCCCGGTAACGGCGACTCCACCTGGCTCGGCGCGGCGCGCCGCCGAGCTCATCCCTTCCCCCGGCGCGGCCCCGTCGGCGCGGCCCCGCGGAGGAGCGGCAGAGGCTGGTGGCTGCGTCGCCGCGGTCACCCGATACGCCGGCCCGCCGCCCGGGACTCGGGTTGCAGCAGGAGAGAGGGAGGTTAGACAGCCTAGTGGAAGCGGGGGGAAGGGCAGGAGCTTGGAGTCCAGCCTCTCTGGTCCCCCCTCCTTCCCTGGGTGCTTCTCACTGTCCCCAGCCCGGAAGGTCTAGCCATGAGGGCCAGGGAATGTCCTGTCTCTTGCTGTGCCACCTTCTGGGCTCACAGTGAGTCCCCGCCAGGGTCTCAGCTGTGCACCATTACCTTTTTAGCTTCCCACGACTTAAATACCCAGTCAAGTCTGAGAGGCCTAGAATGCTCAGGTTTCCTGGATGGTCTTTGATCCTGCCAGGCTGTGCAGAGGATGGTTTCTGCTGAACCTCTCTGGTCCTATACCATTAAAAAAAAGGCTCAGGCTCAGCCCTGAGATACAGATGGTGTGATGAAGTGGCATCACCACTTCTCCCCGTAATTACAAAGTGCTGAGGACTAGGGTCCCTTTGAGACTATCCATTTCCTTCATCAAAGCAGATTCTACAGGGAGTCTACCTTCAAACTCCGTGACCTGGGACAACCAAGTAGATTAAGTCCATTCTCCTGGCTGTCCAATCACTCCAACCCCATCACAGCTCCAGGTTTCTCTATCTGGAGAGGCCTCTGGGCTGTCCCGCATATCACACCATACCACTGTCCCACCAGCATCCCTGTACCAGCCCCACTTCAGCTTCCACTATGTACTTGGCCACTCAAGACAAATCCATTCCACTTGCCATCCAAGCTCAGGGACACACACATCCTTACTTTCTGAAATCCAGCCAAAATGAATCTGAGGGCCAGCAACGGAGGCAGGCTGCATGCCCTGTGCCTGATGCCAAGTGTGTCGATCTGGTGCGAGAACTGAGTTACACTTGGCTACTTGTACTTTGCTAGGCTGTTGCATTTTTCTTTCTCTTAATTTCCCTCCCCCCCCCAAAAAAAAAAAAAACCACCAAAAAACCAAGGCTGGTTGCATTTCTCTGGAGAGCAGAGGGTGTGAAAAGGTGAACTGGCACCCTGTCCTACCCATTGGACTCTGTCACCCCACTTCCTTTGCCTCCTACAGCTTAGCATCAAGGTCAAGGTCTCTCTGGATGGTCTCTTTCCCTGTTCCCTCTCCATTGAAACTGACCCTCTGGCCTTTCCTTCCAGTCTGGGCCTCAATTGCCCCTTTCCCTTCCCTGGCAACGTATAGCCTTGAGCTGTGAGCCCAAGTCCCTGTGAGTCTGTGTAAGCATGCCCCCACCTAAGCGGAAAGCCATCTTTCCATTAAGGAAACTGAGGCTTGATGAGGAAGAGGAGAACGAGTTCAGAACAAGTTCTCCGTTAGGCTAAGCTGTGTATAGTCTTGGTGGTGTAGTGGTCAAGCACTTGACTGCTAACCAAAATGTCAGTCACTCCAACCTACCAGGTGCTCTCGGGGATAAAAACGTGGCAGTCTGCTCTCATAAAGGGGCCGGGGTACTCCTCTTTAATGGAGACTGCAGTGCAAAATTAGTAATAATAATAATAACATAGTATTCTCCCTTCAAAAATTCTTTCCCGAAAGCCAAACCTTGCCACAGGTTTGGGAGGTAGTAGTGGAAAATAAATCAAAGGGAGAGGACAGTATAGGTAGGGCACAGAATGTTCCTGAAAATAGGGACTCTGACATAAAGAAAAAGGGGTGCAAAATACAAATCTTTTATCCCCCCTCCAAAAAATCCTCCCCAAACTCCTCCATGGGTTTGGGGAGTGAGGTGGAGGTAGGTGACTCACCTGGGCCGGCTGGCCAGCCCCGGAGGGGGCGGAGTCGCCATGGAGGTGGGAGCAGAGGGAGCTGAGGAGGCACACGGGGTCCACGGTCCAGCCGCCAACCTGTGTGTGTGAAGCGGGGTACACCCCATTAGGGGGAGCGGGCAGGAGCCGCTGGGAGAATGGAAGGGGGTGGGAAGGGGCATTGCTGAGTGAGCCTTGGCACAAAGCTCCCACACAGAGGGACCAGTAGCACTGGCCAGGCTCTGACCTAGGCTGGGTCTCTAAGCAGAGTCTTGGGTCTGTTTCCAGATGCTTGTCGGCCCTGTCATACTGGGGTTCCCTAAGCCCAGAATAAGGCCCCTGAAATCCTTTCCTCCAATTTTTAACTGCCTCCTTGCACCTTCTGTGAGGGAGCTGTTACAAACCTGCCCTCTCCTCCAGCTCTCCATTTCTTTGTCACTGAAGGTGTCCCCTTACTGAACAAGAGTGGCCTCTTCCCAGTGTGCCTCAGTCCCTACAGCACCTTTTACTTCTCTCCTACTCCAGAGGAAGTGACTTTCTTTTCTTACCCCGAAACCACACCCCCGAGCCTTGGTACTCATCTTTCCTGATTTCTTAAAGGCCTGTTTCCAGTGTCACTTCCACCGCCCCCCCCCGGACAAAGGACACCCCCCCGCCCACAGAGTCCTTACATTCCTTCCTCTCTCATCAAGCTGTATATGATCCACAAACACTGCGTGAGCCACCACTACCAGCTGAGCACTGTGCTAGCCAGCTGAGCACTGACCACCACTGACCACCATGCAAACACTGGCCCCAGCGCAAGGAGGGAAGAGCTTCGGGTCCTGCCCACTTACATTCTCGGGGGGGGGGGGGATCAGGGTGAGTGTATGAATAACAGAATGAATACTCAGAGTCGCTAGTGGCTGTGCTGTGCAGAAGTATGAACTGGGCGCCTACTCTGGGCAGTGACCATGAAGCTGCCACACTCATCTTTTCCTGGTCAAATCCCCAGACAGGTCTCGCTCTTTCCACCCGTGTTGACTCTTGAAGGGCAGATGGCTCTCTACCTGGCTCCTCTTTTCTAGGCCTCTCTCCTCTTCCTCACTCCTGGGGTGAGCCCCCCAAGTCATCATGGTGCCTTTGGTGACCACTCTGGGTCTGGGTCTTGCTTCCATTCCTGCCCCAGTCATGCTCAGCTCCCCTTCTGAGGCACTGGCCCCTCCGGGGTTCTAAGCTACATATTTTGTGGCCTGTGTGTGCCCACCGCCTCCTCAAATTTGTGTCCCTAGATCTCTCTCCTCCTCCTTCTCCCTTCACCTCCCTCCTCTAATCTCTCCTTCCTATTTCTTGCCAAGGCACCAAGATCCTCTAGTGCCCAGGATCCTTCAATTCCCCAAGTGTCCCCATGTTTGGCTCTTTGATACAGGTAGCAAGAAACCTTGCTTGATCTGCTCACCAATCCCTGTCCATTGATCTCTTCCTTTTTGTCTCCTCTTCTGTCCCCTTCTAGTCATCATCCAAAGGCAATACCACCATCTGGACTCACTTTTCCAATTTACTCCCTCATCTCCATCCCCTGCCTCCCACCCTGGGCCTGTGCCCCAGCCTGGTGGTTCTCAGTGTCATTCCCCAAGCCCACTCCACCCTACACTCATGGAGTTCCACCTCACTACCCAACATGACATGCACTTCCTCCATGTTTATTCCAAAGCTTTGCATCCTAGGAAGCCCAGTTTAAGTGCTGTCACCTCCAGGAACCCCTCTCTGACTAAGCCTGCCTATGTGATCACTCCTTCTCTATGCCCCCCAACTGCCTATGTCCCCCTACTCATTTACCCATCCTTTGTCCCCATGTGGAGCACATCCTCCTGCCTCTTCCTCCCAAGCCAGAGTGCATAGAGAGAACCCACGGAAAGAGGCTCCCTGAAAGTAAAGGCCACATCTCTTTCAACTGCAACTCTGCCTTTATCCTGCTCTGGGCCTGTTTCCAGCAGCATTCAGAAGCTGAGAACAGGAGGAAAGTCAGGCAGAACTGGGTTGGATTCATGAGGGCAAACCAGGCACCAGAAACACATCTTCTAGTCCTTGTTGCCTGTAGTAGGGAGTGGAAGTGGGGACATTCCTTCTCATTCCAAGTCACACCAAACAACACTTGAAAAGGGAAATCAGAGCAAGACAAGTGGAGGGGTGGGGGGCAGGAGCTGATGATTCCCCCAAGCCTTGATTGGGAGGATGCTAAGGGGGCACACCACCCTCCCCTGATACCCTCCTCCCACAGTGGACAATGCCTGAATGTCAGCACACAAAGCAGCAACTTGCTATCAAGAACTCTCACAAATGTGAGACGGTAAGCAACAGGATAGCCTCAAGAAAACTTTTCTATAGACACAAAGGTAGTGCTTAGATGAGGCAGGCGATGCTTCAGGAACTCATGGATCTGGGGGAGGGTTAAAGGAAGTCCCACCCCCACAGAAGGAGATCTGAGACTCAGAGGCAAGGGTCTGTCCCCTCGCTGAGCCTCACCAATGACATGTGAGAAACAGAAGCACAGAGACAAGGCCTCTTGTTCAAAGTCTTATACTATTGTGGGGGAGGAGAAAGGGAACATGTTATAGGAGTTCTCTCTCTCCTTGCAGGGTCTAGAAACATAGCAGTTCAACCTGCTGAGGCCCCCAGGCCTGACTTTTCTTTAGGGTCCATGTCTCAGAGGTGCTGACTCCCAATGTCTCAATATTACCCTCAGACTCCTAGGGCCTCAGACAGGTCAACCCCCACGCTGTCATCCTCCAGTCTCCCAACCACTCCCTTAGCCCACAAAACAACACATCTTCTTGTCCCTCTGCACAAACAACCAAGTTAAAAACGCTGGGCTCCCTCATACCAATCACATGTGCTTAGCGACAGGCCAGTGGATGGGAGCGAGACTTGGCGACCGAGCGCCCATTTCCTCCCTCCCCAGGCTCCAGAAAAGGCCCAAATGGGGTAATCGCCATGAAGGGAAGGTCACCATTCAGAATTGGGATGAGTTCGGGGCACGGAGTCAGGAGCCTGCCAATCCCCTGCGCCGCCACGCCAGCTCACCTGTTCGCGCATCCTGTCTTGCTGGCCACGCAGGGCCAGGGCGTGCTGCGGATACTTGCTCTTCAGGTGGTCCATGAAGGCATCGCGCTTGCGGTCCGCATCCGCCTTCTGGAGCCCGCTGAGCGCCTCGAGGCTCTGGGCGGCGATCACCGTGTGCCTCCGCTCGGATGTGTGCACCAGCCCCACGTTGGAGAAGCGCCGGCCCCCGCTGCCCCCGCCCCCCAGGGTCCGGTACTCCCGCGGGTACTCGGCATCATCTGCAGACAGCATGGGGGGGCTGCTCCGCTCAGGATCTGTGAGAGGAGAGAGGGGGCACGCGGAGGTCACTGGGGCGCCCTGCCTGGGGCCGCCTATCACCCACCAGGGGTCACTGCAGGAAGCGGAATGGTTAGTCCCTGGGAGAGCAGGATCTCTGCCCATCCCCCACTAGGGGACCATAGGGGAAAGGGTGAGTGGGGGAACAGTGAGCCTGGAATTCCAAGGGGTGGTGGGAACCAAGGCAGGATCCAGTTTTTGCTCTTCCTCCTGGGTTGGCAGGATTATGGCTGCATGGGAGGGGCTGTCCTATGACAGCCGGAGTGGGAGTCAAAGAGGGGTCTAAGTGTCCTGACATTTGTCTAAGCACAGATCCTTCCCCCTTTCCTGAAAAGGTGGGGCCAGGGGACGAAAGAGACCTTCACTTTAGATACTTCCTGGGATTGGGGCCAGGGATGTGAAAGGAGCCTATACTTTTTTCCTTTCAAGAGTATCCTCTAAGGAGAGTCCAGCCCCTCCACTAGGAAGCCAGGCCACTTGTCCTAAGGGAGGAGTCGGTGTACAGTGGTTTGTCTGGGGAAGGGGCAGAACTACACTGCCTGGGATGGAAGGGGACAAAGCTCACTCTCAGGGCTTCCCCTGGAGATGGAGGCCAAAGGTCTGGGGTAGTGGGATCCCTCCTCCCTCCCTCCCCAGAGACAGACAGATGGACAGACAGGAGAGGCTGGGCACAGAGACGACAGTGAGAAATGGATTGGGAACAAACTCAAAGGAGGTAGAAAGCAGACAGAACAGCTTGGGATTCTCCCATCATTCTTTGTCTCATCTCCCAGCATACATAAACTCAAGACCTATAAGGGACGTACAGGGGACAAAGGACAGCACAGAAGATGTGAAAAGAAAAGAGAAGGCCGGGGGAGGGGGTTTGCAGTCCCCACACAGAACTCTAACCCCTTCCCTAAATGCCACCCACCCCCCAACAAGGCTTGTCATCCTCCACCCCTCAGCTTCACTGATGGCTGGATCTTCGTCCAGCAGTGTCCAGGGCATGCAGGCGGTCACCACGTCCCCACAGACAGGAAGAGTTGCAAAGGCTCGCATCAGCCATATTTCTGGGCACAAAACCCAGATTTGCTCTATTTCACAAGCAGGATTCACAACAGGCAAACACATTATTTCTGCACACCCACCACCCCACAATCCTCTGGCTCCAAAGTGCACACCCCACAGTGCAGCCTTGGGCAGGGTTTCAGCATTGCAGCAGACTCATGGACATGTGCCCACACACCCAAATACACAGGGACACCTTGCAGGGCAGACTGGAGTGTTGAGGAGGAAGCTGGAGAATCTGGGACCCACCTGCATTTCATCCAGTCCAGGTCCCTCATCAGCCTCCCCCCACACCCCCACTGTTCATTCATCAAACTGTTGGCTGGACTGTGTCCACCCACTGCCCCACCACAGAAGGAAAGAGAAGATTCGCCCTCTTCCAGGAAAAGCCCTCCTACCTCAACACATACACATTCTTCCCTGGACTAAAGCGCAGATGTGTAGATCCGGGTACAAAGAGCAAGAAGACCAACACCTCCCACCAAAACCAGTGAAAAAGCAGCTCCCATGGGCAGAGTTCACAAGTACCTGAGCCTCATCACCACTGTCATCTCCTGGGAGTCTCCCCAACACTTTTGCCCATTTCATAGATGGAACAACTGAGGCTCAAAGAAGTCCAGGGGCATGTCCAAAGCTACAGTGAGGGGTAGGAATCAATTTTACACCAATTTCTTAGGTTCTCCCCCATTACACATAGTTTTTCCACCAGCTGCTAAGTTATACCCAATAGATTAAGCAGTATCATTCACATACTATGTGGCCTTTCCAGTTTACCTGCTGGTCTCCCCACCTGGTCCTGGGTGGACAGTTCCTTCTGCCTCCCTTGCCCAGGCACCCAGTCTTTTCACCATAGTCACCGCCTTGTGCCCTGTTCCTCTGCTGTGTGTAGCGCACAAGAGATGACTTAAGGAGGAACACTGTTCTGTATTTAACAAATAAATGCCTTTATTTTCATAAGTATCAGAAAACCTCTACCTAGGTCAAACTTCTGACTTCATGGATAGTGTTCCTTAGGCTGGGGAATAAGATAAGGTTTCCCATTAAATAAATGTCTTTAAGGCCAAAGTAAGTTGAGTTAAAGAAGATAAGTACTAAGTTAATACAGTGCAAAGGGTAGTGTGACATGAAGAACATTCAGGGAGATGTGGCCCTGAATGACAGAGAGATTGTGGGAATCCACCTTTGTGATGGCCTAGTCCCTACCCTGCAGGGGAATGTCGCCTCTTGGGACTGGGACTGGGGGATCTAGCAGAGTAACAAGGGGATGTGCTGTAAGTGATGGGTCTAGACTGGAATAGGAGTGTCCGGGGCACTGAAGAAACAACCCCTCCTAGAGTCGGGGGGACTGTCCCGCGCTGTCCCTTGACCTCAGTCCTTCTTTGTTATCCTCATCACTGAATAGAAGGAGATGGTCCAGGGCCCTGGACACTCCAAAACATCCTGTTTGTCCAGGCTGAGGTGGACATTGTCCATGGCCATGCTGCTGGAGACCAGCTGTAGGGTGGGGTAAACCCTGGCCCTCCCCGCGTGCATCAAAGGGAATCTTCCTTCCTCTTGTGCCAGCCCGTCAGGCTGCTATGCTTTTCTAGGGCTCTGGACACACTTAGGTACCAATGGAACCAGTCCCCATTCTCATTTTCCAGCTGCTTCATTCCTGGTCCCTCTGAACCCCAGAGAAATGCTCGTCCCAACTCCACTCCGATGCAGCACCTCTTTCTCCAGCTGATAGTATGACAGGGGTAAGGTGAGACAGTTTACCAACCTAGGTGGGCAGGGTGTGTGCAGAAGTCCAGGGGTCCCCAATATTATAGCGTTGGAAAGACCAAAGGACGAGCAATAGCAGGCACACTCAAGGCCCCACCACCTGATGACTGCAAACCCATAAATTACCTGTGGTCAGAGATTTGGACAGCAAAGGGCTATAGAGTAAGCAGGTGCAGAGAACACATGGGGTCACCTGGAAGCCCCTCTTCTTAGCCCAACTAACCTCTCCCACAGATGTCACGGGCCAATTAGTGGTAAGAATGCGGCAAGAGCTAGACACCTGGGCTTAGCCATTTGATTAGAAGTCATTCCAGCAACATGTCTCTTCCCCTCTGAGCTAACCTCCCAGCCCAGTCCTCAGCAATGAGTGAAAAGCTGGCAAGAAGCTGGCTAAATGAAAGACATTCGTGGCAAGTGAGTCTGTTGAAGCTGGCAGATGGCGTCCTAGAACCTACTCCAGCCACAAGCAGGTCCTCAGACCCACGTGGCCCAAGTTTGTTTTGTGCTATCACTTAGATCACAGCACCCATAAGTGGCAGAGAGCTGCCTCACATGGTCTCCTGCGCCGCAGTCTTCACAGGAGCACATGGCGAGGGCTTTCGGGGTGCTGGCTTCAAACCTCCACCTTGTGGTTAGCACCCATCTGTTTAGCCATCGTGCTACCCAGACTCCTAACTGGCTGAGCAGCCCCTTGAAAAGCGGGAGATCGATTTCAATCTAGCCAGCAGCAGGGGCTGGTCCTGACCAGATTAATGCTCCCTGTTCAGCTGCAGGGAGGTGGTGAGCCACCAGGCAGGGTCCTGAACGGGAGGCAGGGCCAAGACAACTTGGGGGGAAAGGTGGGACAGTGAGGCCTTGAAGGGATAGACAGGACTCGGTCCATTGTGAGAAGGGATCCAGAGGACCCTAATGTAGGAGGTGGAAGAAGCGCACTTTGGGAAAAGGGGAGAGATAAGGAGGTCCTGGAGGAGGGATGTTTGGGCTGACGGTCCCTGAGGGAGCCAGAGAGATTAGGGAGGGGCTGGAGCATTTCCATTCTCCAGAGACCCTCTGTATGCACCACCCACTGAAATCTTAGAGTCTGAGATTGAAGGTGCATAGGAAGTGCCCAGGCAAGCTCAGAATGAAGGGAAAGGAAGGAGTGGGTTATGGGGGTTGAGGGGGGACGTAGAGCACCTGCACCCTCTACTCAACCCTCCCAGCCTCAGGTTTGGGAAAGGGAAACGTGGACCAAGGCAGGAGAGCTGAGGAAGCAGTGGGTGCCCCCCAGTGGCAGGCTGAGGATAAAGGCGCAGGTGCTTGGGAAGAGAGACACAGTTATTTGTTCCACAATTCCAAATTCCACGCTTATTTATGGGCTTCATTTATTTTTATCCTCCCTTGCATTCTTTCACATGAGATCACTGGAACTTATGATGAAAATGAAGATCCTAAAGTTTTATTGACATTATCTTGCAAGTCTCTCTCTCTCTCCCCCCCCCCACCAACCCCCCCCCCCCCCCCCCCCCCCCCCCTCCTCGGCTTCATTACCCTAAGATGCCACCGTTTACTGTGTCCTCTAGCTGCTGCTGGGCAATGTTCACATATGACATCATCTTCAGAGGAAGAGAACAGGGTGAGGAGAAGAGGGGGAGGGGAATGGAGGGGGGATGGAGGGGAGGTGGGAGCCAGGGGAGAAGAGAAAGAGAAAAGAGCATTCCCTGCAGGGTAGGGGGGACTGTGGCCCCAGCCTGTAGCTCAGGGCCCTGTCTTCCTCTCTCAGGAGACCAGGAGGCCGGACAAGGGCCCTCTCCCGGGGACCTGAGAGGCTGTCACAGGTGTGCACCCTGGAGCCTCCTGACAGCAATTCCTCCCCAGAATCTGGGGCTAGAAGAGAAGGCAGAAAGTATTTAGCTGCTGGGGAGGCCTGCCCATGGTAAGCAGGAAAAGGCCAGGGTGCTTGGAGGCTGCTGGAAGGTTGGAAGACCTGCTGCAGACCCCAGCGTGCCTCGGCTTCCATCACACACACACACACACACACACTGACTCAGGCACATACAGCACCAGGTTCCCCCAGCCCTGCTGTCTGCAGCTGCAGCCATAGGAGCCCGAGTCACCCAGGAGGAGCCCTGAGGCACTGCCACCACCAATTGTACCTGACAACTCCATCCTTCTGGGTGCCTGC